AGGTGTCTAGGGCCCCAAGACTAGGAATGGCGCAGGGCCCAAACTAGGAGTATAGAACGGCGGGGGGGATGGAAGGTTGAATGTGGCTTAGGGAGTCCCGGTGCGGAGAGCTGCGCTATAGACTTACCCCAAGAGGCCTGAGGATGGTAGTCAACATTAGCTATTCTTTAAAAAAAGTGTTTCCTCAAAATTGCCTTTGACAATACAAAGTCTCATCTGGATTCTAGTCCTATTAATTCCAATTCTCTAGAGGGGAAGAGGGAATTTGTGTCAGAAACAAGTATTAAAGCTGCTCTTAGGGTTGCAGACTAGGTCCACTTGGGAAATACTACCACACACAGAAGACATTTTTGTTTATAATAAAAGGGTCTCAGGTCAAATATGGAATACTATAATTTTGAAGACCTTGTAAATATTTTTAAAACATCCTAACCAATGGTTCAGATTAAAAAAAAAATACTCATTAAGCACCTACTCTGTTCTAGCTCTAGGGCATTTGATGATAATTAGGGGAGCTTGAAGATGGAGGGGACACCTGCAGCTCACCACAGTCCAGGGGCTGCATTACCAGTTATCAGACTGTCACACATGCAACTGCCACACAGAGCAGCAGGAGAGAGACAGTCTCTAGTACAGTTGGGGAGAGGTTTTTAAGGGGTGGAAAGTGAGCTGACCTAGAAGGATGGATGGGATTCAAGGAGAGGAGGGAGGGGTAGCAGTCCAGTAGAGCACAGAGACCATCCAAAGTGTGTACTCAACTGCCTATCTTCAGACAATGATGCCCCACCACCACCACCACCAAGAATCCCTGCTCAACCTCTCAGCTGCAGTCAGGTTTGGTTAATGACTCTGGGTTGGATTCCCATCTGCAGCCTACACAGTGCCTCAACTGCTGTGGCTTCCCCTGAGCAGGAGGGTCCACAGTTGTTCCTGTTTCTTTATCACATGGTAGGCTGAAGGAACAGAAGCCAGTGGATTTTCAACCTCTCACTAGGTAAAACAGTGGTAGAGAAAAGGAAGTCAAAGCCACTGGCTCAACATACGAGCAGGTGACTTATTCCATTTATGACTTTATCATGAGGGAGGGGGAAATCATTGGTTCTTGTCAATCTACTTGGCTTTAGCTCCAAAATACATCTTGAATCTATCTACTTCTCACTGCTTCCACTGCCAATGGTTCTGGCCTAGATCAATGCATCAACACCTCTCCTCTGTTTCCACACTTAATATCTAACATGTCTCCCGATAAACTCATCCCTAAGTTCCATTCACCATTCTATACCAGTGTGCTTTTAAGATGTGCACAAGATCACACTACAGCCATAATTAAAAGTTTTCAATGATTTTCAGTGCCTTTATAACAACAACAACAACAACAACAACAACAATAAACTAAGAATGATAAGATGCAGTAGCCTTTATGCATAAATTCCTGAATGTGTAATGCTTTTGTATATAGCATTCTGGCCAATAGGATTAGGATCACACAGCCCCAAATAACTTTTTCTTCTGAGTTTTTTTTTTAGGTAATCCTTAAAGAGTAAGCACTGGTACACACATAGAGATAAACACACAAAACATATAAACCAAAAGAATGGAATTGAAGATTCAAAGATAAGCCCGTGCAGCCAAAACAACCAGGATCTTCTCTAAGAACAACAACAACAACAACAACAACAACATTTTAACCATATTTTCCAATGATCTGATCCATACACAACTCCTATCACCTCAGTTCAGGCAGGCACTCCTGTCTTCTATCACTAGGGCTTCTTTCTTTCTTGCACACTCCATCTTCTGGGTCTTTACACTTAAGTTTTGCCAAGAATAGTCCTCTCCCAGATCACCAGACAGCTGGCTTCTTCATAACTCTCAACACTCGCCTTCAAAAAATAACCTCTAGGGGCTCTTCCCTGAGCACTGTAAAGCCTAGCTCCTCATCTTACTTCTGTGTGATTTTTTTGAACTACCATTTTCTTGCATATTGTCTGTCTTCCCCTGCTAGGAAGCTCAGAAAACATCATTGTTTCCTCAGTGCCACAATGGTGCCCACAATGGATGCTTGATGAATATGGCCCTTCTCAAGACCCTTCTCAAGACCCCAGTTTCTTCAACTGTGAGTGGACTCATAGCTTCTAAATTCTTTCCAAGAGTAAACATTCTGAGGTTCTAAACCTGTGTTTGGCCAAGCATTTTCCTACAAAATATCCAGTCAATATTGTAGGTAATATAGGTCACAGGTTCTCTGTCAAAACTTCCATCTCTGTCACTGTGTAGGAATGAGCACATGACATGATGTGTCGACCAGTAGATATGGCTGTGTTCAGTAAAACTGTAGTGATAGACAGGCAGTGGGTCACATCTATAGGTGTCCACACTCTGTAACTTTCCAGCAATTCCTCTGAACAACTGCACTCCTTGCCACTCAGTGGTCCCCACTTTCCCTTCTGGGCTATTAACCTCACCTCTCCCTCTCCCTTAAGCTCCTTTCTCCCTTGAAGCTCTTGGTCACTCTCCCATCCCCCTTTCTGCTATGTCCCTAGTCCCCCAGCCACTCCTGAGCTCATTGAACCTTTTGGTATCATCCCTCCCTCCACTATTAATCATTTCAAAATTCTCACTAAATTCAACTTTACAAGTGAAGTCCCTTTTTGACCCTGGCCTCTCATCAACTTTATTTTTCCATCTCCAATAATCTTGTCCTCCACCCTACCTGGGCCATCACCTCCCACTGTTTTACCTTGGACTTTGTTATTAGCATCTGTTCTTTATGCCACAAATGGTTCATTTTAAACCACAAATCAAGTCACTCCTCCACTCCAAACTGTAATGCTTCCCATTTCAGGCAGGATGAAATACAACGTTCTTTTCCTACTCCATGTAATCTGAGACCTAATTAACCTTTGGCTCATCCCCTGCTTTCCTTACACCCCATCCCCCATTGTAGCCCATCTGCATGGTGGCCTGAGTCTTGATACTCCTCAAACAATCCTGGTACTCAGAAAAGTATCAGTTCCTTTTCTGTGGCTGTGATAAAACACCATTACCAAGGAAACTTATAGAAGGAAAAGTTTATTGGGCTTATGCTTGTAGAGGGATAAGAGTCTATTGTGGCGGGGGAGGCATGGCAGGAGGCAGCCAGAGCAGAAAGCCAAGAGCTCACATCTGCAAGCAGGCACAGGAAACATCAAGGCAAATTCAAAATGGTCAAGGTTATATATTCTCAAAGCCCACCCTCAGTGGCATGCTTCCTCCAGCAAGACCACACTTCCTAAAGGGTCCAAGACCGTCCCCAAACAGCACTACCAACTAACCAAGTATTCAAATATTGAAACCTATGGGGGACATTTTCATTTAAACCACCACACCTGCCTCAGGGTCTTAGCACCTGTTGTTCCTTAGGTCTAGGACATCCTTTCCTAAGATACACTTGGTTTTCTCACTTCCTGGCAACTCACATAGCACTGTATCAAAGAGGCCTTCCCTGGCTACCTGATATAAAACAGAACCACCCCATCTCTAGCTCCATGATTCTCCATCCCTTTATTCTGCTTATTCCTCTTCATGCTTCTTTATATATTGATATTTCTGGAATGTTATATTCTGTCTTATTCTGCTGTATTCTCAGCACCAAGATCACCATGTGTGACACACAGTGATAAACATCTTCTGAGTTTGTCAAACCAAATCATTTCCAGAGCAACTCACCTTCTTTCAGTGCTGCTGCTAGTAAGGACGCTGCCTGGGGAGGCTCTCCTGGGTCAGGCTTGATGAGGAGGTGTGGTTCCAGGTGGACATCCTCAAAGCCACTCAGTTCCCCAAGTTCAGCATAGATATGTAGCTTTTCTTCCAAATATGTACAGATTTGTTGGTCTTGGTTACTGAGTATTTCTATGAAATAATATTCATCATGCAAGGTTATCAGAATCAAGAAGACAGATTTTAAAAAGAAAAAGATACCACTACTTAGCAAGCAGTCTGGCCCAAAAGGTAAAGTGTATTTTTGTTGGGTAAGAGAGACCCAGGTTCAAATCCTGACTCTTCTACTTGGCAACCGTGGCCTCTAGCAATTGACTTAACACCTCTCCCATCTTCCACTGCACTGAATAAATCAATTTGCCTTTCTCATTCCCTGAATTCCAGAAGAGGTTACAGAGCTATTCTTTGTTACAGAGGCTGTTTTCTATTAAGACTAAATACCGAGCTCAGGAGAGAAAATTGAGGTGGCCTCTCTGCGATGAGTGAATGCTCCTAGGGGAGAACAGTGTGGGGCTGAGAGTCCTCGGTCTTCAGTTTGTCTTGGACAAAGCCAAACACTGGTTTATGGCCCAGCTTCTAAACATCGAATTTCTGTGACCATCTTTACATGCATCAAATTTCCTCTGATTTCAACATGTTATAAATTCTTAAAGCCTAGAGATCCCAACTAACATTGAATCCAGAGAGCCCCTATCCTCTGTGTACCCCAGAGTTGCCTGTGGGAGGAGTTTAAAATACTCAAGTCTACACCCCATGCATGCAGATTCTGCTTCAGTTGGTTTAAATGAGTGGGGGGTAGGTATTGTTTTTAATGAGCTCTCTAAGTGACTCTAATGTAAGGCCTGGAGTTTGAGAATCAGTGAGATTCACAGATCTGCACTTGATGGCCTTGCTTGTTGAGCTCCTTGTCTAGTCATACAAGTGTGACTTGGCAGCCACGCCGATGCTCACCAGCACCATGTGGTCTACAATTATTGCTTCTGATGTGTTCTGTGGATTTGTGTTTATATCCTAGTCACATGTACCTTGTCTGTTGTCAAGTGGTTTTGGTGGAGGGTGGGTAAGGTGGACCTCAGGTACACACAATTAATCACTGTAATAAACGTTTGCTCATGACACCAGGGCCTTCCCATCACTCAAGAACACCAGGACCAGGGGGCCAGAGCTGTGCACACTGTACCTTGACACTGCTGAATTTTGGCCACTCTGGCCTCAGCTTTCCGCCTCTCTTCATCAGATTCACTTGTCCTTCCCCCTTCTTCTTCTGGGCAACTTGAAAAGACAACAGTTAAGACATCACTGAAACGAGTTCCAAGAAGCTCTGAGCTCATTAGAAAAACATGGGAACTTGGCAAAAGAATTGGTCACAGAGGCAAAAAAAAAAAAAAAAATTAGCATGAAGAGAATTCATCATTCCACATTGCCAAGAAATTGGTTTTCTTGAGTTCTTAAAGGACCTCACAGGTTATAACACATAGTCCAAAACTAGCTCTATAGGATGACTCAAATGTTCTGACACACACACACAACAACAACAACAACAACACAAGTATTAAGTCATTAAGTACAACTAAGGTAACAAAATTTTGCTTTATACACCATTTGAAAATTCCTTTTAATGAAGAAAGAGTAGAAAGATTTAAGGCCTAAAGCAGGTACCCTACTGGGTACAGAGTGCAGAAGAGATGGAAGCAATTTATAAAATACCAAGGTCATCCAACTAATCAAATTACTACTAATAATATTACCACTCCCACCCTTGCCCCTAATATATCAAAACTATTCTTACACAAGTAACTGAGAACCTTAAGATTCGCCAATCATTTATTGAATGATTCTTCAGTCCAAGGTACACAGAGAAACATATCACATGGTCCCTGCCCTCAAGGAGCTTCCAATGTAATGAAGCACACGTATCTACATATAAAATTCAACAGCTATCGGCAATATATGACAAGAGCCAAATAAATGCCTTAGAGAGCAGGTGTGACAGCAGTTCAGGTAAGGCAGAGACCACCTGGCTGAAGAGGTCTTCATGAAGCAGATGAGGTGGGAGCTGCACCAAAGTGCCCAGGTAGAGGGGAGGAGAGGACACAACATGCAGGAAGGTGTGCAGAGAACAAAGCTGCAGGTGAGATGCTACAGCAGGCGAGGGCAAAGGTCAGGGAGCAGGCAACTGTGGCTGAGGCAAAGTTTTCATGCAAGGGAGACATGGTTAGAATGTGTTTCCCAACTGAACAAGTTCATTCCATAGATGACACACAGCAATGTTACCTTTCTACTGCCTGCTGGATCCGCCTCATCCAGTTATTTCGTTCCTCCTTGGAATTGGTATGGATTTCATACATCTCAGGACCAGCTGATGAAGCACTGATCAAAAACATACCTCTCTCCTCATTAGCAACTTCTCTAGCAATAAGCTTCTGAAGGGAAATAACTGATGGCTTCTGGTCCTGCATGAAAGAAGAGGATGTGTAGGTGAAACTACATTGTCTCCAGAGCAAGAGTCACACGGAGCCCAGGAGCCACAGAAAGCAACAGGATTGGGCAAACTTTATCTCACTTGTCATCTTTTCAAAAATCTTCGGACGTTGATAAATTCTCCACTGCAGAGGGGAAAGGATAGCACATTAGCTCTGCCATCCCTGTGGCAGAGTGTTCAGCACCACCAGCTGGCGACAAAGCATTCAACACATGAGCCTGTGGGGAACATTTCATACTCAAATCAAAGCAGATAGAAAGTGATGACTTAGGGGAATATTTGTCCTTAAGATTGGTGGTTTAGGGGCTGGAGAGATGGGTCAGGATTTAAGAGTGCAGAGTACTGTTTTTCAGTTCCCAGCACCCACGTCAGATTTCTCACAACTGCCTGCAACTCCAGCTCCAGAGCATCTGACACCCTCTTCTAGATTCCACAAGAACCTGTACTCTTGTGCACATACCCACACACAGGCACACAAATACACATAGTAAAACTCATTTTTAAAAAATATTTATTTGTAAGCCAGGTGTGGTGCCGCACGCCTTTAATACCGGCACTGGGGAGGCAGAGGCAGGTCGATCTCTGTGAGTTCGAGGCCAGCCTGGTCTCAATAGCGAGTTCCAGGCCAGCTGGGACTACAGGGAGACCCTGTCTCAAAAAGACAAAAAAAAATTTATTTTTATTTTATGTGTATGGAATGTATTGCCTGTATGTGTATAAGTGCACCTGTGTCGAGTGATGCCTGTGGAGGTCAGAAAAAAGCATTGGATTACCCTGGAACTGGAATTATAGATGGTTGTTAGCTGCCATATGGGTGCTATGAATCGAATCTGGGTCCCCTATAAGAGTAGCCAGTGCTGTTAACTGCTGAGCCATCTCTCCAGTCCCATAGTTAAACTTTTTTTTTAAGATTAGTGGTTTAAAAGGATAACTTTAAAAAAATCAGAGGGGCAAGGAAAAAAATTATCAAACTGCTATGGTCAAGGAAAGAGAGATGGGAAATGGTGTATCAAATATTATGAAACTATTGATAAGGATGAGAACCTAAAGAGTCCTTTGGATTTGGCAATTAATTTCAAAATAGTGATGTAAACTGAACCCTAGAAAGTAAAGGGGTAGATCAGGAAATGAAATGTGGAAATGGGGAGATAAGACCCAAAAGTTCCTGCGTGTCACTAGCCTCTTCTGTTCTTGTATTATAGACTTCAGCCCCAGAACTACTATAGCTCTATGTATAGGTGTATCTTCTCCTCACCAACCAGATGATCACTTAGTGAGCAGGTGTGCTGGACAGCTTCGATTGTCAACTTGACACACCAGGGTAGAGGGAACTTCAATTGAGAAATTTCCTCCATTGGACTGGCCTGCGGCCATGTCTGTGGAGCATTTTCTTGATTGTTCAGTGATGTGGGAGGGCCCAGCCCACTGTGGGTGGCGCCATCCCTGGGCAAGTGGTCCTGCATTGTATAAGAAAGCAGGCTGAGCACAGGCCAGGAGAGCAAGCCAGTAAGTAGCATTCTCCATGTTCTGTGTTCCTAGTTCCTGCCCTGAAATCTTGCCTTGGCCTCCCATGATGATGGACTGAGCTCTAAGTCACAAAAACCCTTTCCTCACCCAGTTGATTTTGGTCAGTGTTTTTATTACAGCAATAGAAAGTAACTAGGACAGCCAGACTGGGTCTAACTCATCTTTTTATACTAAGCACAATGTCTTGCACTGAGTAGGCATTCAACCAATGTCTGAAGAACCAAATTTAACACAATTCCATGAGAGGGAAATAGAAAAAGTCTAAGATTGGCGTCCAAGCTGTAAAAAATCACTTCTACCAACATTTACTGTGGTCTTTCAGTGCTACACCCTGGGGACCTCAGATGAAGATCCTGCCAGCCTCTCATTTGGCTCAAGAGCTACGATCGAAAGAATGGTCAAAAGAATGCCTGCAGGATGAGCAGTATGGGAGTAAAGAATCTGCTTTGGTCTGTGGCTTCCACCACTGCTGTCAGAGCCCACTGCAGCATGTGTGGTTTTGTTTCTCTCTTGAGGACTGGACGCCTTTATCCAGAGCACGCCACTCCATTCTCCACTACTGACTGCTTGGTACTGGCTTGCCTGCCTTCCAAGCTATGTTGAATAGCTATGCCATATCTGGAGTTATTAGCCAAGGCATCTCTAAAGTACCTTTTACATGGTTTTTAAAGCACTGTGAGAAGAATTATAGATCATGATGGAGCAGACATCATGGGACCCAGGCCCATGCTTGGCCTCTGGAAATGGAAGGTAAAACAGCTTTATGGCAGATTTTCTTGAATCCTTTCCTCTGTAATGAGGGAAGGCCTCTACATATTATTAAGATCCCTTATGCTATTGTGGATCTATTCTCTAGGATGCTTTCCTTGCTTCAATGTATTATTCAGCTTCTGTTCTGTGTGTGAAAAATGTAAGGAGGGTTTGAGTTGCTTGACATGGAAGAATATGAAATTATTATTAATTGATTAGTGTTACAAAGGAAGGGAAGGTGGTGGGATAAGATCTTTCAAAAGTGAAATCTAAAGGATAATAAAGAAGAATTAATTCAATTCCAACAGACCAGAAGGCCTGTCATTATTCATACAAACAAGACTTAACATCCCCAGGAATGAAAGTAGCACACCTACTTTGGAGACAGATGTTATGCACTAGTGATGGAAGGGCCCAATCCAGTCTGCAGAGATATTTTGATTGTGACATAGAACTTTAACACCATTTTAAGAAGTTACCAACATTTGAAAAGTGAGAGACTTGGGCCAGGTGTGGTGGCGCACGCCTTTAATCCCAGCACTTGGGAGGCAGAGGCAGGCGGATCTTTGTGAGTTCGAGGCCAGCCTGGTCTATATAGTGAATTCCAGGACAACTGGAGCTACAGAGAGACCCTGTCTCAAAAAGACAAAAAAAAGTGAGAGATTCTACCTATTAAAAATACTGTAGAGTTGTGGGTGTTTGGTGGAAACAGAAGACTGGTATTCTGGACCATATTCTCACTTAACTTACAGACACCACCTGTATCTGAGTAAGCCCAATTAATTTACTTTGACACGGGATGTGTGCCCACTAGTTCAGGCCAGTCCCCACTGCTCTCCACTATCTTCTTGACACTGACTGCTTGACTTGATTTATTTACACTCTTGTCCAGTCTCTATGGACATCTGGAACTGAAGACCTCTGATAAAGGAGTACAAGGAAAGGGGTGAACGTCCTCAGTCCAACTCTTACACCATATTCTTTTGGTACCAATTCTCTTAGAAAGTGATTCCACTGTAATGAAAAGGTCCTAAGCTTGCTTCATACTTTGAACTTGAATTTGCAGATACACATGTTCATTTTGTCTTTTCTATCGTTTCAAGTTTGAAGTTTCCTTCTTTAATATTCAAGAGATTCTTCTGAGGCTCACTCAAAATTTCAGAACTGATCGACATGCCTACTTTATCCTACACCTCCTATTTCCAGCTGCTTGCTCTTAAAGTAAGGTAAGATAAAATAAAATAAAACTGTCTTGTAAGGACACTACTATATATTCTTGCTACTTTCAGATACTTATCTTCAGGCAGTTTCCAAATTGAGCTTGTTTTCTGTACCATATAACAAGATAAGCACCTATTAAAGGTTTTCCTACTGGTTATACAGAATGGAAAAATCTCACCTGTGGGTTCTACTGGGAGGGTATCTTCCTAAAGCTCTAGGGTGGGAACTAGGAAAGTCAGATATGTGTATATTCTGAACTTAAGAAACTGGGGCTGCTGTCAGATGAATGCAACCAGAAAGCATGAGATTCAACAGCAGGGTACACCTGACTCTCGAATGGTAAGATAGGACTTTCTCTTTTTCTCCTCAGTATCACCTTTAGGTGTGTGCTGCTATGTTTCAGGCATCTAGAAACAGTGCCAGTAACAATCTTTTGTTGTACATGGCAAAGGATATTCTACCAAAGAGAACTAAATTGCGGTCACCTTCACTCTGATATTGGTAGGCTGCATGCCCAGCCTCCCACCTCCTAAATGTTAATGTTGTCTCTGGGCACCACACATAACTCTTCAAGGAGTCGTGCTACACTTCAAGTTGAGCATCAAAACTTGGCTCTGAATCCATATGTTTTGTTGTCTTAGAAAACACTGTATCTGCTGTCATACTGTGTCTAACTCTTGCTCAGTCAACAGGTCACTGGGCTTACCAGACCACTCAAGAAGCAGGATTCATCCCTCTTGTCAGGTGTCTGGTACTGAAGAAATCGTCATTTCTATAAAGATCTAGTAGGAAAATTTCTCTTCCAATCTGGCTCCCACCATCCCACAGGTTCAATACAATGGACCCAACCTTCTTGGGTTTTTCTCTGTGCTTTTTCAGAGTTCCCCAGGTAGCATAGGGAGGTTACTAGACAAATCAGAACACTTGAATGAAATGTGTAATAGATCCAGTGCAAATAGGGCATGGAGGTTTGTATAAGGCTCCACATGATCCTCTGCTGTAGCCAGCATCAGGGTGCCAATGAGAGGTGTGAAGAAAGCAGTGGATGGGCAGGGTGAAGGAGCCCCTGGAGCAACCTGACAAGCACAGGTTGCTCCAGCCTCTCTGCATAGAATCCCATCACTAGTGAGACATGCTTCTTTATATTCTCTAGACAGCCTCTCTGCATAGAATCCCATCACTAGTGAGACATGCTTCTTTATATTCTCTAGACAGCAAATTTGAAACTTCATGAATCTTCAAATTTTCCAAAACCAAATGGAGTGATATTTGCTCATGTACCCAAATAGCCTATCATTCAATAGATAACAAATGCTTGCATTTTAGAGTCACCATTGCCCTCTTGAATATTGCGCTTTGACTTCCTTTCCCTAGCAGGGCCTGATGATACTAACAAGGAGTTAACTGGTGATATCTTCCTTCTCCATGACACTTTGGAGCACCCCGATGCTGTGTAAGATATGTTATAAACCACTGATTTTCAGTAGTAGGCTAAAATCTATGTGCCAACAATAAGAGTAATTTACATATCACAAAGGGAAGGTTGTTACATGAAAGCCTTCATCACTAAAAGCCACTACAACAGGAAAAGAATATTCAAGCCTGGGGATGTAGCTCAGTAGTAGAGCATTTGTCTAGCATGCACAAGGTCCTGGGTTCAATTCCCAGCACCACAAAAAATGAAAAAGAAAGAACCTTGTTTGGAAACCATGATGTTCTCTTGTTTGGAAGAAGGAACATTATCACACAGTTAGAAATGATGTTAGCATGAGGTACAATAAGAGTATCATCCAGTAGGAATAGAGAGCAAAATGCTGGAAAAGACCTATGACCAGCATTGTTATTATGCCCAGCATCCCAATTGCTGGAGCTGAGACCAGGGGATGGGGATGAGGATAGGAACTAGAGGAAAGACTCAGCCAGACAGCAGAGAAGCACTTGGGGGACCAAGGGCAATGTCCATACCATCAATACTGAAACATTTCAATATTTTTACAATTGATTAAACTCCCTGCTGAACCAGCTTTGAAACCTGTCAGAGCACTAGGAATGTACCACAGGCATGTTCTTGCCAAGTGACCATTTGATTTCACTAGGAATTTCACGTACTGTTCAAGGAAATACAACACTAACTATTAAAAATACGCATTGTGTCATCATATACTTACAACAGCTGCAAAGATGTATTTCTGGTCTTTTTCTTGTAGGAAAAGCAGCACGTCTGTTAGAAGTAGAGCTAGAATATCTTCAAAGACAAAAACATAGTAGCATTAATGATGCAAACCTCAGCTCAGATGACTATTACACATTTTAATTTCATGCTTGAAATTTACATAGATTTAACAAAAACTAAAGCTTAGTGATGAAAATTTTATTTAAAAAACTTTCATTATGATAGCTAAAGATATCTATAATAGCTAAAATTAGAATATTGTTTAAATGTGCATGTTTGTGTATACAACTATAGATAAACTAGGCTTGTGTGTAATTATAGCTAAAGCTCTAGCAAATTTTTAATAGTTCAGTTTCCAAATGAAAGAAAAATATCAGCTATAAAAGAAGGCTCTCAGCTGGTAAGACGATGTGGGCTGGTAATCCTAGCACCTGGGAGACTGAAGCCAGAGGATGAGTTTGAGGCCAGCCTGGGTTACAGAGGAAGACTTTGTCTCAACATGCATCTAGGACCTACGCTACCCCGCAAAAGAAGGTTCTAAGAGCATGGAGTATGCCCTTACCTTAGGGAGAAAATGTGGCTGAATAAAAATGGAAGAGGGGCAGCTTCTGCATCACATTACGCAGGAAAACTTGTTCTATCTAGGTCTAACTGAGTTTCCTTTGGAAAGTTTTCGAGAACCCTCCCACCCCTCATTGTAATCACTGCACAGTCTAACCCAAAACAGATTACTTCTATTAAGTGAACAAAGAGAAACAGGACCTATTGCAGTTAATGTTTTTCAATACAACACTGTAAGCCATTAATCAAAAAATGCCACTGCTGAAGTTCCATCAAAACTTGATTTTCCAGGACTATAGAGAGGACTCAGCAGGTAAGAACACTGGCTGCTCTTGCTGAGGACCTGGATTCAGTTCCCAGCACCTACATGGTGGCTAACCACCTTCTGTGACTCCAGTTCCGGGGGCTCCAATGCTTTCTTCTGGCATTGCACGCACCAGTACTCTCATATGCATGCAGGTAAAACACTCATACACATAAAACAGAAATTAATTAAAATTTTAATTTTAATTACACAAATCTGATCATCCATCAGTGGGTCATGACCTGTAAGTAACTATTAGAGAATAGCTTCTCGTTCTCCTTCCTTGCCTGAGGATGTTATTAAGATGAAGTCTTAAAAACAAGGAGGCTAGACTCAAGGTCCTTAGCCCTGGCTATAAAGAAGACTCATCTGACAAGCTTCTAAGCTTGGGCTTCACCTCATGACCAATAAAATCAGAATCTCAGGAAGGAGAATTGAGCAACAGTCAGTTTTTCGAGATCCAGAGGTATAAGAAAGCACACGTCAGGTAAGGTACTTAGCTACATGGTCAGTCCTTGAGAACCTAAATAAAGAGCTTTGGACCCTAACCAGACTAACAGAGTCAAGTTAAAGCCTGTTAGCAAATAGTACCACTGAGGGAGAGTTTACCCCGGGGCCAGTATGTGCGTAGATCTGTCATATTACTTAATAACAAAGATGATATTCTGTTTTCTCATTTCTCCACTCCATGGTCTGACAGCTCCAGGCTGTCTTGGCACACAGCACACCCTTACTGTGTAGGTGTATGCTGTCTCACTTTCAACACACATTTACCAGAATATTTCTATGCCAGCAATTAGCAGAACTCCCAATTCCTTTGATTTCAGACATCATAAGCTTGCAAATTCATGAAAGTACATGTGAAGAGTTTTGCTTAGGACAGCAAACTCCCACCAAATGTGTGTTTCACTGGTCACAGCTGCCAACTGAACTTTACAACCTGATCTTTCAACTGAAAAATCAAGTGTTTATGTAGGCATATCTGCAGTTCTAACCATTTTTATTTTGAAAATCTGTTCTCTGTTGAATAAGTAATGCGTACAAAGGGAGATATTGGACTGGTAAAGCCACAGTACCTTTGAAACGACCTGTAGCGGTTTTCCAGTAAACAAGCCCATCGTGTAAGAGAGTCCTTTCTTTACTGATCAGGGCCTGCTTTCTAAACACATGGCCATTTTTGAGCTTTGTATATGTTTTGTTTTCGATTTTACTTAGGATTTCAAGCCATTTTTGGTTCTTTTCATACTCGCTGACTTTCAGATCCACAGCTGCGATCATGTCTTTAATTAAGCCAAGAGCTTTGCACAGGTCTCTGTGTTCTTCAGTCCGTTCTGCTTCAAGAAAGAAAGAAAGAAAATTATAGTAATCCAGAGTACTAAGAAAGATTTTTTCTTCTGTTTTAAAATATAACAATGATCCTATCAGAAAAATGTTGGATTAAATTCAAATATTAAAATATTTCCCTGGGGCTGGAATGATGGCTCAGCAGTTAAGTGCACTGACTGCTCCTGCAGAGAACCCAGGTTCAGTTCTCAGCACCTACATGGTAGCTAACGACTGTCTGAAACTCCAGTACCAGTGTATTCAAAGCTCTCTCTGGCTCTGTAGGCATGCATGGGTACACTTACATAATGCAGGCAAAACACTCATACACATAAAAGTAAATAAATAAAAAATCATTTTGATAAAATCTCTCTGTATCCATACAAAGAAGCATTACAATACTTGATATAAAAGACCTGCATTATTAAATGTACATTAGCTGACAATGTGGTGTCTGACTTCTAGGGATAAGACTTTCTACAGCAGTGTGAGAGTTAATCTTCACTGTAAACTCGACTGGATTTAGAATTACCAAGAAAACACGCTTCTGGGCATTTCTAAAAGTTTCCAGAGAGGACTACCTTAGGGAAACCCACCTTGATTATGGGCAGCACAATTACATGGGCTGAGTCCCAGACTGAACAAAAAGGAAGAAGAAATTGAGCAACAGGATTCATCTCCCTGCTTCCTGTCTGCATGCAATGTGGCCACCTGCCTCACACTCCAGATGCCATGATGGACTGTATCCCCTCGGAACAGTGAACCAAAATAAATCTTCCTTCCTCAGGTTACTTCCTATCAGACATTTGGTCATAGCAACAAGAAAAGTAACTGATATAAGCAGGAACTATGTCATGAATTAATTTGGGTGTTCCTTTTACCTTCCTAGAACAAGGTAAGCAGGTAATCCCCATAACATGTTTCTAAGAACTGTACCCAGCTAGAGAGTCAAGCCCATGTCCTCGAAGAAATGGTACCACAAGGTGATTTGAATGGGCATAGACTCGTTTGCCTTCTGAGTTTTTTCCTCCGCCCCAAAAAATAACATTCAAAACTACATTAGCATAAATTTGATGAACTTAATATGATAATTAAAACATTTTCTTTGAGCTGACATTTTCTTTCTTCTGATGATGAAATGAAAATATTTTAAGGTTCCCAGGCACTTCACCTAATGGAAGTCAGCCAGGCTCATGCACACAGAGGAGATTGCCACCAATTCCACTTGCTCTTTAAAACACTGGCCACTTGCTCTCACCTCCAGACTACCTTAAGAAAATACACTGGAGGAGTTTCTGGAATGGCTTCCTGAAACCTTAGATGAAAGTGAATTTAGATATTTTCTGTATTTGATGATAAAGGTCAGCTAGTTGATGTTTACTCAGGTGCCTGGACCTGAAGCACTAGAAGGAGAGGAGGAATGGAAAATGGGCAGAGAATCCAAAGGCTCTCCAGAGCCTAGAGCTACTCTTTCCAAGCTATATACGCTTAGAAAGAGCAGTCAAGAGGAACAGAATTAGTCTTCCAAAGGGTCTAGACGTTCTCAGGTTCTAAGTGCCTTCACATTATGTATGTGGGCTTTACCAAAACACCTCATAGAGCACATCTGATCCCCATCTTTCCAAGGAAGAATCTTTCTCACTGCCTTCCAAAGAACACACCTCACTATGTCCTCTCTCCTCCACAGAGCCCTTCTCCTCTAGGAAGGGGTTTCACTTCTAAAGAACCTATTTCACAACTAGAAAAACAAAGAAAAGCAAAGTTGAATTACAAGATGATTTGGAACAACTCTAAGAAAAGGCTCAAAGTCCTTTGATAAATTACTGTCTTGTAATGCCTTGCAACTCAAAGTGTAACAGCATCAGCCTCCCTGGGTGTCCAGAAATAGAGACCTTGGGCTCTACTGACTCAGAATAGGCATGTAAGTGAAGTTTGAGAAGTACTGCCATAACAGTCATGTAGCACCAGAGGCTCAGGGAGTGACTGACCAGTGGCAAGTTCTGCTCTGAGGAGGAGACATCTATCCAGCACCATGCTGACTGATATGCCAAAGAGCCATAACTCACAATTACAGTTCTCACATCAGTAGGTCACCATTGTTACCTATTCTCCCAGGAATTTGCATGGGATGAATCCTAGAGTAGGACCATTTTTTAAAAAAATATTTTATTTTATTTTTTATTTTATGTGTATGAGTGTATTGCCTGCAGGTATATAAGTGCACCACGTGAGTGCAATGCCCCTGGAGGCCATCAGAGGGTGTCGGATCCCTTGGAACTGGAGTTGCAAGTGGATGTTAGCTGCCACATAGGTGCTAGAAACTGAACCTGGGTCCTCTGCAAGAGCAGCCAGTGCTCCTAATTGCTGAGCCATCTCTCCAGCCCAAAGGATCATTGACTAACACAATCTGATACATTTTAGACCTTGAGGTATTATAGGAACTTAAGAGAATTCACACATAATATGAACTGGAAGGCCTTAATTTTGTTTTTGCTCTGCTGAGAACCAAATTTGTGATGCTTTCTCCATATATTATTTTTACATTTCCTTATACATTAAATCATAAAGAGCAATAAAAGTGAGGCATAAGGAACAGTCAGTGCCATTTTTGCCAGATTTAGTTCTAAATGTGACTGAGAAAATGAAATGGGAAGGATAAATTATGTTTGGCTACTCATAAGTTGAGTTTTATAAAGATTTAAGATCTCATAACCATTTTAATTATCCCTAACCAATATTAATAAAGGCAAGAAAAATAGATCTTCCTTACTGAACATTGGGCACTGCTGAGATGATCTCATTTAGTCACAAAAATTTCATAAAGCCAGGATTATTTTCATTTTGTAATGGAGCAAACAGGATTAGTTAATTAGCTTCCCCAACTAATGAGTAAAAGACTCAAATACATACAATAGCCTTGCAAATGTATACAATTTCAAACCCATGCCTCTGTTAATAGAACACATTACTGAGCTAACATTTTTTTGTCAAGATCAATAAGCTGGCTTGAGAATTAGTATTTTATTCATTCATTCATTGAACTTATATGTACTATTGATAGCTTGCACCAACCATTGCATTAGACACTGAAGATCTAGCTATGAACCCGGGGACACCGGTCTCACAAACCCAGGAGTTTACAATCTAGTCAGGTGTACTGACAGCTTCTTAAATGATGCCTAATGTTACTCCCTGGAATGTAATGAATTGACAAGGCCACTCATTCTCCATCTAATAACTCATTGCTTGGGTATGCTGATGTTTGCTGATAGGATCATGTTTCATGAGACTGTTGTGAAGGTAACAGATAAAAGGAAGGGAAGCTTGGAGGAAGGTCTAGATATGGGAAAAACATAAAGGGAAAGTCAAGGGCAAGCTCTGAAGAAACCTGCATGGTTTGTGCTCCTTGTAGGAACTCAGAATATTAGAAAGCTGTATTATTACAAAAGATAATTCCTTGACCAGAGAGATGGCTCAGGCAGAGATAAAGGCACTTGCTGCCAAGCCTGATGACCTGAGTTTCCATGTTCAGACCCACATGGAAAGGAGAGAACCAACTTCCACACATTATCCTCTGGCTCCACATGTGCTCACAGTGTGCATGCACGCTCACACACGGACACACACATGCACACACACACAGAGAGAGAGAGAGAGAGAGAGAGAGAGACACACACACGGACACACACATGCACACACACACACACAGAGAGAGAGAGAGAGAGAGAGAGAGAGAGAGAGAGAGAGAGAGAAATGCAATTTTTAAAGAAAACCATCTCTCAAAACAAATCTCAACTTGAAGGCTGTAACAGTTTCCTCATAACGAAAGCATTTAGGAATGGCAGGCTATGAACATTCATAGCTCTTTAGGACCCCTCAATTATGATTAAAAGAAATAAGTGAGGCAAAGCCTGTCCCTGAAATCATAACTCACCCTTTGTGTACTGCAGTATTCTCTCCACCAAGACTGGGTATTTTGTGATGCGCTGGGTGACCAGCAGGATGCATTCTGGGATTCCTCGGCGTCGAGCCAAAAGATTGCTATTTCGGAGCTTGAAAAGTATATACGGTTTTTATATACACACAAATTCTACTTGCATTTACTTTTCACTTGAGAACTTAATAACAAATCTACAATTGTATAGTTATCTCCAGACTTATCACCGTTAATTAAACCATATATAGCATTATTACACTTGATGCTTTTGACATTAATTTCAATCCCACCATCCTCCAAGGTGTCTTTTAAATTTTCAAGGCCTGCTACACATGTACATGAAAACAGAGGGGAATCTGGTAGCATCCTTAAAATGCTAGATAAAAATTTAGACTCCCACAAGTTTTATAAGACAAATTTCTTCCACAAATAAACAGGAAAGTCAGGAAGATCAGGGGGGAAGAGCACTCAAATTAATGGAGACTTAAGAGCTGTAACCTCCGTATGTGATACATGAATCTTCATCAGTTCCTGGGTTACTAATGCAATTTTAAGATATAAACAGTGAAATCTAAAGATATCAAAAATGATTGATAATTTTATTTAGAGCTAATAGTATCATGATATTCCAAAGGATAAATTGTCCAGAGAGACATGTTATAGATGAAATTTTATGATGTCACAAAATTAATTCAAACTAATCCACTCTGAAGCAAATCCATGTAGATTCTATGTTTATTTTTACTTTGGTTTTTCTGATACATAATTTTACAGGGTATGAAAGAACTTCCCAGAACATTGCAAGTATTCTCAGAAGTTTGGGGGACATGACCTTACAAATAAAAGATACCAATAAGATGAAATGGAAAAATATTTTACTAGCATCAAAACTTTCCCTTTTTACCATAAACCCACCACTTCCTTCTCCTTCCCCTGAAGAACAGAACCTAGACAGGACATTTGTTTAGATCATACAAGACACAAGCATGAACTATTTCCCCATGCTGGTTTACTACTCTGTAATACAATTTAAAAATACTTGCCTTAATAAAATTCTGAAACTTTTTATTCTGCTGGAGTTCTTTAAAGAGATTCACAGCTTCTTTGTGATGACTGCAGAATTCTCCATAAATTTTCTTCATTTTACTTGCATTTTCTTCTGAAAACTGAGAATAACATTTCCTTAATGGTTTACAAATGTAGTAAATGCATAGAGAAAAGAACATGTAGTTTCCATATATCTTAAAACATCATGGTCTTTCTGAGTACAATCACTCCTCTACTCCAAGCACTTCTTAAAGTAAAAGGAAGTGATTGAATGGTAAGGGCCAACAGAACAGGACCATATTATACTGAACATGAAACAGTCAAATGAAAAACATTCAATGTTTTTGTTTGTTTTTCATACAACTTTATTACTATAACTTATAGTTGTGATACCATTTCATATTGTATGTCCAGACATTACAAGTAGATCAAGGGGTAAGCTGACATTGGCCACAATGAAAATTGAATGAAGCATAACCAAAATTCCCATTTATTAACTTATGGGGAGAAGAAAGGATGTAGGCTGACCTGCAGAAAAATATTCATAGATACAAAATCCCAGGTAGCTCTTTATAAATATGGATAAGAGTATTCTAGTTTACATGAAATGGCAAAGGAAAAAGAATAGCCAATTCTTTATACTGTAGAAAGACTCACTCTTGCATTTTCCAGACGTACACAGTTACAGTTTTCAAGCCCAAATGAAAAGATGCATGCACAGTGGACACAGAATAGAAACCGGAATGGTGAGCTGATTTTTGGCAAAGGTGCAAGGCCAATTCAATGGAGAAAAAACAGCCTTCCCAACAATTGCACAGAAACAGAAAAGGAAAGAAATGAAAAGAACCCTCAACCTTAGCATCAGAACTTTCACAAAAGAGAGCTCAAATGCTGGTCGTAGTGGTAAATGCCTTTAATCCCAATACCCGGGAGGCAGAGGCAGGCAAATCTCTGTGAGAACTAGGCCAGCCTTGTCTACATAGTGAGTTCCAGACCATCTGGGACTGCAGGGAGACCCTGTCTTAAAAAACAAAAAACAAAAGAAAAAAAAACAAAGAGACAGAGAGTGAGGGAGAGAAAGAGAGCAAGAGAGAGAGACAGACAGAGAGAGCTCAAACTTGATCACCAAACTACTGTAACACATGAAACTATAAACTTAGAGGGGAAAAAGCATTGGAGAAAATTTTGGGATCTCAGGTTGGATAGGATACTTAGATTTGAAAAGAAAGCATGATACTTAAAAGGAAAAAATGCTAAGCTGTATTCCATCTGAACTGAAGAATAAGAAGGCAAGTTACAGATATGAAAAAAATACTTGAAAACCATATATTCAACAAGGCCTAATGCTTCAATATGTAAAGAAACCCCAATATTCAACAGTAAGGAAAAAGAAGTTAATGCAGCTAGAATATGGGCAAAAGGACACATTTCACCAGAAAGGGTATACAGGTGGCAAAAAGGAATCTGAAAATGTTCATCATTAGCCTTTGGGGAAATTCAGTAATCACAGTAAGATACCACTCACAGCTCTTAAAACGGCTAAAATAAAACACAGCGACAGCATCGGATGCTGGCACGGATGGAGTGGAAAGCACTTGGCAGTTTCTTACAAAACTAAACATGCAACTAAGGCAAGCCATAAACTGTATTTCTAGGTATTTGTTCTAGTAAAGTCAAAATTAGGTTTGCACAAAAATCTGCACATAAATACAACAACTTTATTTGTAGTCAAAACCTAGAAGTAAAATGTCCTTCTACAAGTGAATAGTTAAATAAACTATGGCACATCCATACTTATCACTAAAAGAAAATGAACTACTGACACAAATAACTGCCTACATTATTTTTAAGAGAATTATGCCGGGTGAAAAATGCTAATTCCTGAAAGACTATACACCATGTAATTCCATGTATATAATACTGTTGAAAATAGCAAAATTAAAGAAATAGTTACCAGGACTTAGAGGGGAGGTGGCAACAGGAGAGAAGTAGGTATAACTACCAAGGGTCACATGAAAAACCTTGTGATGAAAACATTATCTTGACCATGTTGATGTCAGTTTCATGATTATCATATTGTAGTTTTGTAAGATATTACCACTAGGGGTTATAATTGAAAAAATTTAAAAATTTAAATATCTTTAATCCCAGATCTTAGCTCATTCTTACAAAACCACTGAGAAATGGAGCATAGATCCTCATTTTTAACAAACCTCCAGGTGATCCTTATGTTCTTGAAGTAAGAAAGAAAACCAAACTATTGGTTTGGACAATATCCACAAGTTTTCACCTACCCAAGGAGTCCTGCGGACTATACTTCATCACACTCCACCCAGACTTCTGACAGCACATGGCGTCTGTATGTTAGACTCTAGGAGTTACTCGGACTTTCCTTTCCTATATGCTTAAGCACTTTGTTGCCTCCTTTGTTCCCACAAAGCATAACAACTAAACCCATTATCTGAGGATGATGCTAGTTCACTACTTGAGAAACTCTTGCTGACAAAGTATCAGGGGTTCCCTTACCACATACACACTACGTATGCCAACAAGGAACAGGAGAGTAGACTTGTCCTTCTCTCCCAATCCTTTTCCCTAAACGGAAGTCTATACCTCATCCATCAGGTCACTTGGACCATGCTAGGCGACCTGATGAATTTTTTTTTTTGTCTTTTTGAGACAGGGTTTCACTGTAGTCCCAGCGGCCCTGAACTCACTATATAGACCAGGCTGGCCTTGAACTCACAATGATCCACCTGTCTCTGCCTCCCGAGTGCTGGGATTAAAGGCGTGCGCTACCATACCTGGAGAATTATTTTTTTTTTACTTGATGAATTATTAAGTATGAAAAGAATCTAAGAATAAAACAGGTTCCAATGATTAGAGGCCAATAACAAAGATAAAATCATGATTATTTATATTAAGGAAGAAGAAATTCAAGTAATTTCAAATGATAAAATTAAAATCTTGCATTTAAGTTTTGAATGCACTTGGCATTTCAACATTCTTATTTAAACTGTTGTGCAAAGTCCTTTACACTCTCTTGACTTGCCTTCCTGCTTGTCATCATGTTTCAGATGAATTATGAAGATGGAACAGGTCTAGGGCTTTAAGCTGCAAAACAGAGGCCTCTTTGATCAAAATGAAAATATTTTTACTAATGTAGGCTTTTACATTGCTAGACATGTAAGAGTAGATATTCAGCAAAAAAAAAAAAAAACTTAAATGCTGTGTGTGTGCACTATATTGTATTTAAGCACATCGATAGTAATGAACTCAACTCCCTTCCCCTTCCCTTCTTAGGACATAGACCAAAAGCTTAATTCCATTGTAGACAGGTCCTGTGACAGACAGAGGACGTAGTCATTGGCTGTTAGAGGCTCCCTGATACCCATGTAAACCAGGATTAACCAACATCCAATGAAAGAAAATCTGCCAGGCCATCTGGCAGTAACTGTAATGAAATCAATTCCATTTCTCCATAATTCCAGGTTTTTATTACTATAAAGAGCCTGAAAACCTTTCGGGTTCTGAGACCAGGACCCCAACACCTGTCTTACCTGCTGTACCAGAATATCTCCAATTCGGTGGATCACAAAATTCCTGTCATTACCAGCACAGGATTCCTGCCTGCGCTCCTTCATGCTGAAGAAGAAATGCCTGTGGACTTCCAGCAACTCGTCCAAGCAGGGGAAGATCTTGTCCACTGTGCTGTGGTCCAGCTGCAGCTCCTCTTTCATGCCTTTCCTGAAGACCTCAGACATGATGAGCAGGGTCTGGATGTGATGCATCTCTGTCTGCATCAGCTCTGAAACATGAGCATACACATGACCCAAAGGAACTTAGAAAGACAGGTGCCAGGTACATAGCCTTCCATGTTAATAATAATGTTAATAATCATGCACTGATATTGTTTACTTCAAACAAAAGAATTCAGAATTACAGATCTTGTTTGCCTGCAACCTACCAATTCACTTTTTAAAACACTTCTTTATTTTTTTTTTAAATTTGTTTTTATTAAATTTTTGTGTATGTCATACAGACTATCTCAAACAATCTTAAGCATCTTTATACCCCTGTCTTCAATGGTACCCTCCCATAGCTCCCCCACTGGAACCCATATACTCTGTCATTTGTGTTAAGGCCCACTGTTTCAAGCCAGTGCCCCCAGACATTCCCCAGTGCAAGTCCATCCACTAAAGTCCAGTCAGTCTATATAGAGTCTCTTGTTTTAGGAAGATCAACTCTTTTCTAACCTAGCAATTATCAGTTGCCAATATTTCTTCAGATAAGATTGGGGTCTGCTATTCATTTCCCCAATTTTATGCTGGCTTTTTATCTGCCTGGGCTTGCATGGGACTTGTATATGTTGACACAATCGTGTGAGTGTTTTGCCTGCACGTGTAAGTGTAATGTAATGTAATGCCCATGGAGGTCAGAAGAGGGCATTGGATCCCCTGGAACTGGAGTTCTGGACAGTTATTAGCCACCATTTGGGTGCTAGGAACCACACCCAGGTCCTCTGCAAGAGCAGCCAATGCTCTTAATTGCTGAGCCATCTCTCTAGCCCCCAACTCACTTTTAAAAAATAGATCTGAAAGGTAAAGATACTAAATAATAAGAACATAATCACCTTCTTTCTGTTGCAGGATCAGTTTCCAAAATTCCACTTTCTCCAGAGGAAAATGACTATATACAAATACATGTAATATTGTATTCTGATTATATATTATCTAAAAAATATATGCAACTATGGAAAAGTCTTATAACTAGACTTTTAAAATATTTAAAAATGGGAAAAGGATTTTAACAGGTATTATTTCAAAAACATAAACAAAGGGGCACTAAGCACCCGAAAAGACATTCAACAGGGCTTATGATATAACTTAGTGATGGAAGGCACCACAACCCCCCCCATACACAGAACAAAGCTCAAGGTCATTAGTCACTGGAGAAATGCAAATCAAAACCAAAATAAGACACCACTCTAAACACACTAGGAAAATCATAATAAGAAAAGATGAACAATAGACAAGTATTGGTGAAGATATAGAGCAAATAGAAACCTACACCTTCTTAATGGGAATGTCAGATGGTGCAACTGCTTTGGAAACTAGTGTGCAATTCATCAAAAGATTTAAAATAAAGTTACTAAATGACTTCCAAAATGGAAACAACACAAAAGGACCATCCATAGCTAATTAGATAAACAAAATGAAATATCAGTTGACTACAAAAAAGAATAAAGTACTGATGTATATTATAAGTAGGATGATCCTTGAAAACATCACATTAAGTAGCAGGAGCCAGACAACACACACACACACACACACACACACACACACACACACACACAAAAAAAAAACCTACCTGTTGTTAAATGCTCCAAATAGGAAAATTGTAAGGGACAGAAAGTACAGTCGTGGTTACCCAAGGCTTGAGGAAGAAGGAGATATGGGACGTTCTAATGGGTAGAAGGTTTCTTTTAGTAGTGATACAAATGTTCTAGAATTTAATAATGCCTTATTGTTGCACAACTTTGAGAGACACACTAAAAACCGCTTGATTACATATGGGGTGGGATTTTATTGTATATGAATTATATCTCGAGTTTTCCAATCCATCATGAGAGAAAATAGTAACTCTCAATATGTGAGAGTATGAGGGCTACAAGTGCTACATGAGTCTTTCCAAACTTACTGTATGTCTGGGAAAAATTCTAAAATATCAGGCACAGAGAGGAAATGAATCTAAAAACAGCCGTGGGGCTGGAAAGATGGCTCGGTGGTTAAAAAAAAAAAACAAAACACCGGCTGCTCTTGCAAAGGATCCAGATTTGGTTCTCAGCACCCTCAGGGAGGCTAACTGACTTCTGTGGGCATTGTATGCCTAGGTGAACTTACATATATGCAAGCAATATACTCATACACATAAAATAAAATATATAATTTAAAAAACAGCTGTACTATTTCATCATAAACAGAAATCTCTCTCTCTCTCTCTCTCTCTCTCTCTCTCTCTCTCTCTCATATGATACTGGGAATGAACTCCAGAGAGTATGCTTGGGAAGTGCTCTACCACTGAGCTACTATCCAGCCCTTGTTTTATTTTTGTTGTTTTTGTTTTCGAGACAGATCTTCCTCAGTGCTTGGTAGCTCAGGCTGGCCCCAGATTCTCAATCCTCTCAAGTGCTAGGATTACTTAGGAACCACCTGCCAGCTTTCCTCATCTTTAAAAGGGAAGCAATGAGGAACAGAAGAAACAGATTTTGCCTGGGATGCAAACCTTTCTGACACCAAAGGCCATGTCACATACGATAATTCATCAAATTGGTTAGATTATTTGTAACAGCATGTACGATTGATAGGTACTGGAAAAAAAATGGCAGCATAGTATTAAGAACTTGAGAACACTAAAAGAGACAGCATCCTCCTCTCAGTTTCCAGTGACTCAATTCCCAAGGCCCCTGGCAGATTCTGAAGCACATCCCCAGCTCCTTGACCGCACACCCCCACCTACTACAGGTGAGTACCTCTGCTGGTGTCCCAGCAAAGGTACAGGTCAAGGAAAATGAAGACCCTGCCAAGGCTCTAAAGTAGGGTGTCTTGTTGAAACTGCTTTTAACTTGTTCTTTGAAAAGTTTTTTCAAATTTTTTTTTCTAATGAATCTATACTTTAACTGCTCCTATTTCAGACTGTCTTCACTCTCAATAGCACACAATAGTGAAATCTCACTATAGCTGAACTGTACACTTAGGACTACAGCACACAAATGCTATTGTAACCTGTGTACAGAATCTGGCACAGTCTATATAAACAGTACCTTGGTACGGCACTCGAACCATAGGCCATATGCAGAGTCCTGATACCCATAGTGCCAGGGGGTGTGTGGAAGTTCACTATGCTTCATTTAAGCTCCAGAGCAATTTACACCTATTATTATCCCTGTACTACAGATGGGGAAATTGAGGTGCAGAGGAGTTATATAGTTTGTCTAAGATCAGACTGCTGAAAAATGGTGAACTGGGACTGAACAGGGCCTGTACAGTTTCCACCTTCATGCTCTTTCCTCTGCCTTCCACTGAATCAGTGGCATATTCGAAATGCTTACCAAAAATGACATCCTGTCTTTTGATGACATCCTTCTCCTGCCTACTACAGAATGAAGGGTCCACCACGAGACTCCAAGATTCAGCTTCGAACTCCTGGGCATCATTGCTCAGGTCGCTCCACAGAGACGAATCCACGACATCTAGAAAAGAAAATCCCAATGTAGAGTAACATACTCATCACAAACGCACCTCGAAGAACTACATTGATAAGCTCAAAGCTGCTATGAAAGCAGAAAGGGCGTGGTGAGAACACCGCAGTTCCAGTTCTGACCAGAAACATCTGAAAACCCGGGATGAAATGTCCGAACTAAGATGGCTGCCTCGAGAGCAAGGGAGTCGGATGTCAAAGCAGGAGCTGCACATGCCGGGCATGGGAACCAGAGGGACTTTGGTTTGTTTTGGCTTGTTCTGTTGAGTTTTCTTTTCGGTAACCTTCAGAGTCTGCACTGAGCTTAACAGAATCTTGGCCCTACAGATTTCTTCTGCCCTGGGCTATTTTACACTGTTTACTCGAATCTGAATTGTGAACTTGTCCGCTTGGTTTGCCTTTGACTTGGCAAAACAGAAGGCAGAGTGTGAGGCTCTGAGTTACAAGTAAGTGTAAATTTTTCTGATAGAACTAAACACACACACACACGCATCTTTTAGGAAAACTAAAGCATATTTGCACTAAACAGAACTCTAGAGATTCCAGCTCAAGGCTGTAAAGATGAGATGACAAAGGATTTAAAGAAAGAGGCTCTGGGCAGAATCCACTCTCCTCTAGACAGTATTCCCCTTCCATTTGGCTTGCCTTCTCTTACTGAGACAACTTGTAACAAAAAACAATCCCCAGGATCAAATCATGCTACAAAATACACTTAAAGAGCTGGAGAGATGGTTCAGCAGTTAAGAACACTGGCTGCTCTTACAGAAGACTCAGGTTTGATTCCTAGCACCCCACATGGCAACTAACAACCATCTATGAATACAGTTCCAGAGGATCCAGCACCCTCTTCTGACCTCTGCAGGCACTGAATGACATGAACATACTTACATACATGCAGGCATTATACTCATACACATAAAATAAAAATAATAAGCCAGGTGTGGTAGTGCACGCCTTTAATCCCTTGGCTCTTGGGAGGCAGAGGCAGAAAGATCTCTGTGAGATCAAGGCCAGCCTGGTCTACATAGTGAGTTCCAGGCTAGCTGAGGCTACAGAGACTCTGTCTCAAAAAGACCAAAAAAAGGGGAAAAAATACCGAAAAAGCAAACAAACATTTTAAAATGCTTTTATTCCCTAGAAGTAGTGGGCAGAAGGCAGGACAGGTATCTCAGTGAACCAGGCAGGACTAGACTTAACTAATCAAAGTATGTATTTGATTGAAGGGCTCCATTCCAAACTTGCAATAGCTGTGAAACATTTTCAATGACAGGCCCACAGTGTATTTCATTCTTTGAATTACGTTCACAACCTAATCTTTCAGGAATATGTCCATTTAAAATTTGCTTCCTATCGCCTCAATCACTATCTGATTTTGTTCTTCTTGACTGTTTTCCTTTTTTCAAAAAAAAAAAAACAAAAACAAAAAAGCCTTATATTGACTTTGTTCTTTGACAGTTCCATACATGTATAAAGTACCTTCTGATTACTGTAACATCTCACCCTCTCTAATCTCCCTCCTACCCGCCTTATTACCACAAATTCCTTTCCTATGTCCTCATTCTATTTATTTTTTGAGACCCTTAAGAAAAGGAGAATCTATGCCAAATAGACACCATAAGACTTCTTTTGAAAAGGATGAGAGAGGGCTAGGGAGATGGCTCGGTGGATAAAGCACTTGCCATGTAAGCATGAGGACCCAAGTTCAGATCTCTAGGACCTATGAAGAGGCCTGGCAGGCACACTAGCCTCTGGTAATCCCAGCACTCAGGACACAGAGATGGGATCCCTGGGCCAAGCTGGTAGCCGGACTAGCAGAACCGGTGACCTCTGAGAAACCTCAAAAATAAGGTGGAGAGTGACAGAAGACACCTGACATCCACTTCAGGCCTCCACACATGGTCTCTTACCCATACACGTACATCCAGACACAAAAAGCATGTAAAAATTTTTTAAAGAACAAAAGAATACACTTCCATCTTACTTCAAGAAATATTCCTTTTAGCGACTGCTCAGAGACCAAGAAGAACGCAAGCACATGCTCTCACCTTCCATCACGAATGACTCCATGGAGGGCGAGGAGCCCATAGACTGGAATAGCTCATCAGAGTGAGACCTGCTTCGCCAGTTGTTATTGTCACCCTCAGACTCCAAGGATGTCACTGACCTCCTGAAGCTGGGAGGGAGAGAGGGGAGATGAGTTAGCCCCAGCAGCCACCCTGGGCCATGAAGACGAAGTGGCACGCAGAGCCTTACCTTTCCAGCGTGGTACCTGGAACACTTCTGGACAACGGATGCACCTGCCCTGTGGTTTCCTTCCTTCCAGCTGGCAGTCCAATAGGCATGGAGGAGGAAGGGTGCAAGGAGAGCCCAGGCTGTGGGACGTCTCTAGCTGAGGAACCTGGAAGCAAAGTGGACACCATGTGTGTCACACAAAGGGCAGTATTTACAAGCAAAGAAAGTCACATAAGTCCAGAAAGGTAAGCCCTCAAGCAGCCACTTCTAAGAAACCAGTCTCCCTGCCACCTCCTGGTAGTTTGCAGATGTCCCATCCTCTTCACACCTCTGACACCCAAGCTGCAGGCCTGCTTTTCTACACCTCCCTTGGGAGACTGTGGGTGTTTGGCACGACAAGAAAATGGAATGGGGAAACACTGGCCAGCTTTCCCATAAACCATTGCTTGTACTCCTCAAAGCCAGCTTTAAATAGATGCACGGTGTGATTAGCACTGTTACCAGAATGCATATGGTGTGTGTAAACAAGCAAATGCATCTAGGGAGCAGCTCAAAGGAATGGAATGATGCCTGGGCATCCACTTCTTAGGGAGCAAGACTCTCAGGCAAATGAAACCCGAAGCCCAGCTGAGCTGCTCCCTCTCAGATTGAAAACCAGTGCTTCCATGTTTTCCTGAATTGTTCTGGGCATGGATGTGTTTACCTTTGGTTTGAACTTTAAATGACTCTGAGAAAGTATTCCAGACCCTTCATACTGTAGCTATTGCACACCCATTCTGGAGCAAAAGGGAGAAACGCTCACAGAGACTCCAGGATATATATAAGGAGGGACTGTATACAGGAGGAATACCTGACATTTTAAGTTATAAATTCTAAGCTTCTTTTTAGTTACATATTTAACCCTATGAAAACATGAAGCATCTTGGAATTGTTGCCAAGAGATTTTTGAGGTCCAGGTAAGGGAGTGAGTGATGAGAGAACTATTAATGCCAGCTCTGACACCTTGCGTAACACCCCAAAGCATGTCAACAAGACTTAGCACACCTAATTGTCCCCACTGAAGTGGTTTTCACAATATCACTCATGCTTTGTTACAGCATTGAAATGAAAAGTGACCACACATTTAACATCCCTGCCAACATCATGAAAAGCAACTTCAGGGTAGGAGAAACTGTAAAATCTCTCACGATAAAGTAAAAGGTTGTCAAACTTAGAAGATGTTATTGTGACTGGCTCGTGCAGGTAATGAAAAAAGCTTTCAAAGGTCACTGATTATTGTCAAGAGAAACTATTTAAATTTCAGCAATGTATACTTTTTAAAAAGAGCCACCAAATTTAGAAATACACAAACAAAACCTCGGCATGCTTTCTGATTTCCTCATCATCTCTAAGGTACTAGCAGATAGCCTCAAACACCAGGTCTCCATGAAAACAGGCCACAGTGACCAGTGAGAACCCACAGATGCCAAAGCTAAAGATTTTTCCCACTAAAGTTTGTAATTCCTAAGAAGAATTCAGTATGTATTTATACAGATTAGTATGTGCTACTCCTAGGGAAGCATAAAATTGTGCACATTTAATGTGGTATCTCTCTTTCCCCTCAACAGTTGCTAAACCAATAGAGTATATTCCACTAGACAATCTCAGAATTGAGACAATCAGATCCTGCTCTTTCCATATGGCCCCCAGTATACAAAGATCATAGGCCATATACAATGCAAAGACTCTTAGGCTGACCTAGAAATTTATATCCTTCTTGACTTCTTTGCATAGCTAAAATTATGCCATGCACATCTTATAAAGGAAGAAATAACTGGACTAATGAGAAAACAAAAGCAGGATGTATATTTATAATGGAAAAAATGCACGGTATGTATTAACTTTTTTAAGTTCTTGTCAGTTTTCCACATCACTTACTTCCAAGGATGGTCTGTGGTTTGTTCTTGTTATATTTCTCTTGGAACTTCTAGTAAAGAATATTAGAAACACATAAAATAAGATCAAAGCACCACTGAGCTACAAGAATGCACACATGGTTTCATAGAACAGGATTCTTATCTATATCATACTTGTTATTTAGTTCAAAGAATTCAAAGCAAAAGACATTAAATGCAAAAAAGAGTAAGGTGTGATGACAGTAAAAATGTGCAGGTAATAATTGTGGTGAAGCTTGTGAATATTCGGTCATTACTCAGGGCAACCAGGCAGCCCCAGCTCATGCAGCCAGGCCCATGCTGCCTTGTTCCTCCTTGTTTCTCTCTACCCTCACTATCCCTCCTGCTGTGGATGACTACCCCAAGCTCTGTAGAGCTTTTTTTCTACCTTTTACATAGCCCTCAGCTCTACCTCCTGACACAAGGGGTGTCAATTAACACAGAGCTCTGTGACTCCATGTTTCCCACTGTTGGAGCATCACACTCAATCTCACATGCATCTCTCACATGACTGTAGAGCAAGGAAGGGAGACCTGGAATCACAATGTCATCATCCTTGCAGCCCCACCCCCAAAGACATATCCTTCTAGTTCTGGGCCTTCTGGTGGGCTCTCAGCAGCAGCAGTGGCCACCTGAGAGTGTGCTACAAGTACACATCCTCAGGCCCTACACAGACCTACAGAATCCGAAATCCTGAGAAGGGACCTAGAAGTGTAGGTTTTTATAGTCCTCCAGCTAATTCTGGTAGTAGTTGATGTTTGAGAATGACTGCTCTGTTCTTCATTAGTGAGTACTCTGGGATTGTGCTGGTAAACCAAACTTGTCTGTGCAGAAAGCCTAGCCTGCCCTCCTCATATAATGTGAATGAATTTTCTCTCTATTGCTAAAATTGGACAGCTAAATAAACAGCCATACACTCTGAGTATATGTTACCTCGGTAATAATCACTTTAGAAATAAAACTAGACAGCAATAAAACAAGAGTTTACTCTCCAACAGATGGTATGCAGCAAGTTAGATACCAAGGACATATGAGTTACCTTGGTACATGAAGGTACAGCATCTTTACAGCCCTTGTGTGCATTTGCCTTACAGTCTGAAATAAAAAGAGAATATACAAAAATGTCTATCTGAATTAAGTGACTCTGAAATAAATAAAATCATATCAAATGTTTATTGGTCATTATTAAAACAGCTGTACAAGTATTTAGAACTTAAGAAGGCAATTATTTAAATGATGCATAGCTCCACCCAAGCATAAGCACACTCATTGGGATTTTGATTTCCTTGGAGATATTTTTCATCTCCTGCAATTATCTTATCAATCATAAAGCCCAGAACTATGCAAGCTACACATCTCTGGGTCTTCCTGAGAGCTCATTTCCTATTATGCATTATATCATAAGGGATTTCTGACACTTGACCAGTAGAAATCTCCAACTGTAGCACCAGGTAAACTGCCTAGGAGAATGAGAAAAAACAAAACACAACAAAACAAAACACAAAACAAGCTCACAATAATGCTGGGGGAAAAAAAACACATCGTCAGTGTCAATAGGAAGTCTTACTAATAAGAAATTGCAGTCTGGAGAGATGGTTCAGCAGTTAAGAGCACATACTGGTCTTGCAGAGGACCTGAGTTTGGTTTCCAGCATCTAATTTGGGTGGCTCACAACACTTGTTACCCCAACTCCAGAGGCTCCATCACCATCTTCTGGCCTCCATGGGTAACTTCACTCATGAGCATATACTCCCACAGAGACAAGGGCATACACATAATGAAAAATAAAAATAAATCTGAAAAAAAAGAAATTGGAGGAAGCCAAATTGAATGAGAACAGTTTGCCACTTGCCCATGTGGTCTCATGTCCCTGAGGAAGGTGAGAGAGGTTTTCCCTGTTCCCTTCTGTTCATGGGCATAGAGACCAGGCTACTGTCACATGCGGGGCATCCACAGGGCTCTATTCTGGAGCTGTCATGTTCCTGCCGTGTCCTGCTTCCTTTTCCTTGTCACCTCTCATCACTGACCCCCACACTGTACGTCAAACTAGATGTGTGTCAGAAATGCCTTTAGGATTCCTTCCGTAAAAACTCCATTTCAGGTCATCAAAGCCACACTGGGGAAGATCTAGTGGCCCATGGTGAGCCAGGCAGAAACCTGAGCCCCAAACTTCAGCAGTTCTGAAGAAGCGTTTTTGCCAACAACCTAATACCAACAAGCAGAGCAAGGCTACTCTGTATACTGGCCCTCCTGATAAACATCGAAATCCAACAGCTCTCCTCTTATTCCAAACCAAGCAAAGAGAGGGAAAAAGTAGAAGCTAAGAGATGCCACTGAACAAAGGTATATGGGAAACTCATAGCAAGAGCAAGCCACTGGTATCAAGTCCAGGAATAGGCACGGGAAATGTAGATATTTGAAATGTGCTTTTGATAAGACAGAAGAAGTGATTTCAATGAAGTAGAACCCGAAGGTATGAAAGGAGAACAGGACATGAGTGCAGGCCAGCAAGATGAGAGGGGAGCGGATCTTTGTGAGACAGGCAGGGGTTGGCTGTAAGGAAAGTGAAGGGTAAGAGCAAAGTTTTTATTAAATGGAGACAGATCTGTGTGACAAAGACATCAAAGCACTGCTGTGAAATTAAACTTGAAAGATTCCAGGATGTGGCAAAGAAGGCTCTGATTATAAAACAGACGATGTCAAAGACAGATAGCTGAAGTGACGCTTATCTGAGGAAGACATTGGAAAAATGAGATCAGAGCAACAATAGCCCAAGCTACAATAGGAAAAAAATGTCATAAAGCTAAAAAGTAACCCCAAGGGCAAACCAAAAGTTCTCGCTATTTTCTAACAAAAATAACTAAATGACACCCACTCTACATTCTGACAATGTCCATATGATGAAAAATGTAAAAATGCTCTGGCAGAGAAGCAGAAAAGAGGGGTTGCTAACAAAGGACTCGGGTCACACAGTCTCCAGATTCTCCCACAATAATGGTAAGGGCTCAACTATAATGAATCATGTAGACTGAACCCCAAAGAGGAAGATTTTGGATGAAGGTATGAAAGAAGCAGCATGTATAAGGTTTCCAGAAACTGCTCAGGCCCTTTCTTATCTATGGAGAGAAGAAACAGAGCTGAGGATTAAAGAATGGATTGACCAAAGTTTTCCTTTTTAATATTTTATTTATTATTTTTATTTTATGTGTATGAGTGTATTGCGTGCATGTAGGTAAGTGCACTCGTGTCGTGCAATGCCAGGGGAGGACAGAGAGGCCGTAGGATCCCCTGAAACTGGAGTTACGGACAATTGTTAGCTGCCATTTGGGTGCTGGGATTCAAACCCAGGTCTTCTGCAAGAACAACCAGTGTTCTTAACCACTGAGCCATCTCTCAAGCCCCAAGTTTTCCTTTTTTAAAAAAAGGCTTATTTTTGTTTTTAATGATATGTGTGTGTATGTGTCTCTGTGTGGGCATGTGCACATGTGTACAAGTGCCCACAGAGACCAAAGGCATCAGATCCCTCAGGAGCTGGAGTTACAGGTGGTTGTGAGTCATCCAACATGGATGCTGGGAATTGAACTCAGTATTCTCTAAGAGCAGTAACACTCTTAACCACAAGGCCATCTCTCTGATTGCCTTTATTTATTTATTTATTTATTTATTTATTTATTTATTTATTTTTAAGGAGCAAAATGTAAGCAGTACACCATGCTAAAAAAAGAAAGCTGCAATCCCAGCACTTGGAGAGCAAAGGCAGGAGGATCAGGAATTCAAATTCATCCTTGGCTAGGCTACATAGTGAATGTGAGGTCAGCCTGGGCTACATGACAGCTTATCTCAAAAAAGAAGGGAGGGAGGAAGGGAAGAAGATTTTAAAACGTTGTAAAAAGATATACAGAATTGAGTCAAAAACTGAAGTTTTCTTTTTCAAAAAAATGTTTTTGTTTTTATTTTTTATGTGTATGATTACATTGCTGGCATGTGTATAAGTGCATCCATGTTGTGCAATGCCTGTGGAGGTCAGAAGAAGGCATCAGATCCCCTGGAAGTTGAGTACCAACGGTTGTTAGCCACCATGAGGGCGCTGGGAATCAAACTCGGGTCCTCTGCAAGAATAGCCAGTGCTCTTAACTGCTGAGCCATCTCTCCAGCCTCCAAAACTGAAGTTCTCTTGAGATAGAAAAATGATCCTTGAAAGATTAAGCATGCAATGTAAGAGAGAATGCACTAATGTAACAATTCAGAACACTAGCAGAGGCTGGGGAAAGAGATTACCGTAAGAAAAAAATAAAAGTATTAAGTTATTAGCTTTACACAGCCATAATACTATCATTAGTAGATATTAAAAGAGCCTATCTTGCCAAATCCTAGGAGAAGATAAAAGCAAACAACACATGGCCTAAAAAGCCGAGCCAGACATCAAGGAAAACAGCCAGGAACTATCAAAGATAGTTGGAAGCAGTAAAATTAAATGTAAATAAGAAAAACCCTTTGTTATAAAACCAGATCTTTCAGTTACATCACAGAGTCTCTCTAGGAAATTTAAAGATACACATCCCCAAACATCAAACCACAGAAACAGTGATGGGACATACAGAGCAAAGGAAAGCAAGAGGAATATTAACTTTAGAGAAGTAGAATCAATGTGAACAGTAGGTGACATCATCAAAATGTATCTGTGTTGACTAAAGTTTATTGGGCAATGAAGGTTGATTTGTGTCTGTGCACCAGATAATGTCAAATCAAAATGTAAGCAGCCAAGCCTAGTTACAAACAAGGAGAATGCCACAGAAGTGCAATTTTATGGACTATTAGCAACTTGGGATCTGTGCTGGCTACTTTCTGTCAACTTGACACAAAGTAGAGACACCTGGAAAGAGGAAGTCTCAGCTGAGGAATTTCCTCCATGGTTTGGCCTGTGGCCACATCTGTGAGGCATTTTCTTAATTGCTAATTGATGTAGGAGGGCCCAGCCCACTGTGTGCAGTGCCATCCTTGGGTAGGTGGGCCTGGACTGTGTGAGAAAAGTAACTGCACAAGTTTGGGGAAGCAAACCAGTAAGCAGCATTCCTCCATCATCTCTATTCCAGGTTCCTGCTTGAGCTCCTGCCCTGGCCTCCCTCAGTGATAAATTGTGACCAAGGAGTTGTAAGAGGAAATAAAACTTCTGCTCCTCTAAGTTGGTTTTGGTCAGTGTTTCATCACAGGAACAGAAGCCAAACTAGAACAGGGTCTAACAGAGAAAACAACACTAGGATTTCAAGTACTTATAATGATGCATTGTATTACATCATATTCGTTTTTAAGATTAGAAGTATTAACTTTCATCCACAGAAGATTATCTACCTACAGCAGTAGATATTCTATTCATATTCTATTACCCAATGCAAAAGTTTAATATTAAATTTTAAACCACTAACACCTCCCCCAATAAAATCCCTGTATATCTCCAAACTATTCTAAAGAGCATTGTGGCATAAAGAGAAAAATCAAGTATATACTTTAATACACATGCTATTGTGAAATTTAATCTAAGGAAATAATAGTCAGCAATGTGGACAGAGATGTGTGCAAACAAGCATTCATTTACACTGTGAAGCAATTAGAAAAAATTAAGTGAACACAAAGAAATAACTAAATGCATTTGATACTACCATCAAATGAAATCTCAGCATTAAAAGATGACATAATATTTTTAGGGTTAGAAGAGACTCCATCAGAATATTAGTAGCAGCCAGGCATGGTATGGTGGCACATGCCTTTAATCCCAGCACTCAGGAGGGAGAGACAGGTGGATCTCTGAGATCAAGGCCAGCTTGATCTACAGGGAGTTCCAGGCCAAGTGGGGTTAGAGAGACTCTGTCTCAAAAAGACCAAAAAATGACACATTAACAGGAAAGTTTTGATAGATGGAAAATTTTAGATAATTTAAGTTTCTATTCAAACTGTGTATCTTTGTAAATCCTAGTATACTTTTTTTTAAAAAAAAAAGCAATGACTGGTTTGACAGCTAAGCATATCTTAAGCACTCTCAGAAATTTTCAGCTTCCACTACAACTCTATCAGATTCACTTAACGAGTGCAACATGAGCCACTTAATGATTTCAATATTAGCCTTATACAACCCTGACTTCCCAGGTCTTAGTAGTCATTGCCTAAGCACAAATGTTAAGGGACAGCCTTATCATGACACCTGTAGAGGCTTCAAAAAGTCACTATGTGTCCTCCTAGAACTTAGAAAGACACAGACCAGAAAATCAACATGAAAATGTGAAGTAAAGTAGATGGTGGTAAATACCAGGGTAGATGATGCAAGGAAGAGGGAAATGACAAGCGAGGTATAAATAAGGTGTAAAGCACTGGGAGGTGTCATCTGAGCAACCCACGTGGCGAGCTGAGGGAAGAGCCTTGAAGGAAGAAGGCTATGTCTGTAGGGAAGGTGCTAAAGCAGGAACATGCTAGCATGTTGGAAGACCAGGAAAGATTGCAGTATGAGGAGAACAGGGGGAACAAGGGAAGAGGGGGAAAATGGACCAGGTTTTATAGGGCTTTGCAGTCCCTGTAAGACATTAGCCCTTTACTCCAGGGATAGAGAAAGCCATTGGGGGACTGGAGAGATGGCTCAGTGGTTAGGAGCACTGGTTGCTCTTGCAGAGGACCAGGGTTCGATTCCCAGCATCCACATGGCAGCTAACAGCTGTCTATAACTCCAGTTCCAGGGGATCCGATGTCCTGTTCTGTCTTCAGGCAATGCATGACACAGGTACTCCTCCGTACATGCAGGAAATACACTATACACATAAAATAAAACCTTTAACATTTAAAAAAGAAAGAAAGAAAGAAAGAAAGAAAGAAAGAAAGAAAGAAAGAAAGAAAGAAAGAAAGAAAGAAAGAAAGAAAGAAAGAAAGAAAGAAAGAAAGAAAGAAAGAAAGAAAGAAAGAAAGAAAGAAAGAAAGAAAGAAAGAAAGAAAGAAAGAAAGAAAGAAAGAAAGAAGATGTAGAACACAGGGCACTGTATCTTAAGATGGTCCCTGTAGCAGATACTTTGAGAAAAGCCCTTAGGCAGTAAAAGCATAAGGAGACCAGTTATAATGATGATTTTATACCAGAATGAGAATAGTGGTAGGGTGAGGAGTAAGTTTAACATATACACTGAAAACAGAGCCAAGAAGTTGGTTCTGGGATGTAGAAGAAAGGGGAGGGGGTATAAACAATTCTTCTACCATGTTTGTATGAGTATCCAGCTGGAGTGATGAAAGGATCAGCTTAGAGGTGGGCTCAGAGGTGGGATCAAGAGCTCCCACCAAGAAGCTGCAAGGATATCCACATGGAGACATCTCGCAGGCAGTGAGGTGGACAAGCTTGAGTTCAGGGAGGTCATCAAATACAAACAAAAAGTACCAGTATGGGCCATTGTGAGGAAACTGCCCAACTGTGTGAACATGCTTAGCAGTGGCCCTGTCCTTGAGGAGCTCACAGGGCAGGGAGACAAACACAACACACACTGGATTCAAAGACTTACTGGCACACTGGAGTGACTCTTTCCCCAGGAGTGTTTTATCACAACCAGAACACTGAAGAACCCCAGAGAATGTTCCAGGGATAAACTGATGTCGATTCAGTTTTTCTTTGTCTTTAGCTTCCTTGTTTTTCATCTTCACAAGCAGCAGTTGCAGCAGGAAAAGTAGGAAGAAATGCAAAAAGGAAACCGTTGTGAGCTAGCATTCTTACAGAACGCATACTCACATGACTGATCCCCAGCATGGGGTTACCTTAACATGTCTAATGACTCAGACAGGAGTCCGTAAGAAATATAAACACAGTCCAAGGTATGGGACTTTAATGAGGATGCAGAAACCATACTAACTGATGAGAAATGAAGCCATCTACACCTTGAAGTAAAAAGGTTCAGTCCCTGAATTACCTTAGACTTGTTCCGAGGGCTGGTCATCCTATTCATGAGGAAGCTGAAAGTTCGGCTCACTTTATATTTTTCAGACTCCGATTTGGCAGGAATGATGTATTTATCCCATTCTTCTTCCTGAATTCTAGAAAGAACATTACCATGTTTTATAGGACTGACAGAGGGACAAAGAATAGCATGCAGGTGTTTGCACATACATCTGTATGGATGTGAAATTTTTTTAGGGTTTAATGGTTATAAAGAGAAAAAGAGAAAATATTAAAATATATCTTATAGAGGAATGAACATATGACTAGACACATGATAAATCAGCTACATCACAATTTTAACAGTTGTAGAATCTAAGTGGTAGAATAAGTGTTTAATATATACTTATTTCAACTTTTCTATATTCCTAGAAAATCTTCAGATTGAATTATGAAGGAAATAAAGGAAGGCTTGCTGATAATTTACCCCTAAAACATTTATCTTCCTTTTAAACATGCTAATAGAAATTTTCCCAAACACAGAGGAGCCAAATAACCAACATCATAAAACTAGATTTTATTTAATTTGGGAACATATGAGTGGTATTCAGTAGCATCTCCCTGGTTGATACAGCCTGAGAAACAGACTGTGTATCTCTGGGTTCGACCTCTCCCACTTGGCTAGGTCATCTACAACTTGAGATTCTCTAGGCTGTAGAGGAGGCAAGGCTCTACACAAGACAAGCTAGAGGTTACTGCATCCAATCAGGACTACATTTAACATTATTTACTCTCCCCTAATCAATGGCAACATTATTAGCAGGAATAGGAATAAATTGCTTCAAATAAAGAAAAATAAAAGTAATTTTTGATTATGCAACTCTACTTCTTTCTTTTTTAAAAGATTCATTTGTTTTATGAGTATGTGTGCAAGCCTGAGTGTGTATGTGTGCCACAAGTGTGCAGGACCTACAAAGGTCAGAACAAGGCATTGGACCCCCTGGAGCTGGAATTACAGGCAGCTGTGAATCACCTAACATGGGTACTGGGAATCGAACTTGGGTCCTCTGCAGGAGCAGCAAGTGCTCTTAATCGCTGAACCATCTATCCAGCCTCTCAATTCTACTGCTATTCTCCATGTATATAAAACTTCATCAAGAAAAATATTGTTTTGGTTTTAAAAAATCTCTAAATACACCATTATATACAATGTATCTTATATACTTCTCCAAAATGTCATAAAACCATACCATTTAATCTTTTAGGCTCAAAGTAGATATGACTCAAGGATAAGTGCTGACAAACTAAATACTCAGTATTTTTTTTTAAAAAACCCACTACCCAACCTGGTACGCATGTGGCATCACAACCCACAATTGGATTATGGGCCACCTCTATGCAAATGAAGGAGGTTGGCCGATTCTGCTTTAACCTAATTTCATGGTGTAGTATTTGCTAACAATTAGCTACTTTAGACAAGAACCAAGAAAAGAAAATCCTCAAACCATTTCACAGTGCAGTTTAAACAACTTTTAAATTTATAAAAATCTGGAAAAAGTTAATTTTTCAATATCCCAGAACAAGAATACTTAATTTCCAATGTCAGTTTGATGACCAGTAGGATTGCTCACAACAAAGTTTTACAAACTCCATTCTTCAAAAACCCAAGGCAGCTCACAACTGTCCTTAACTCTAGTTCTAGGAGAGCCAATGACCTTTTCTGGCCCCTAAAAGCATTGCATAAGTATGGTGCACTTACATAAAAGCAATCAAAACCATACACATAAGCACAAATTTTTAAAAAGAATATGGATATTCAATATGTTAACACTTAATTATATCTATAACCTAACATTTTATTCATTCATTTATTAGCATTATTTATTTACTTAGTGTGTGTCTGTGTGGCCTTTTTTTTTTTGAGAAACAGTCTCATTTATGTAGCCCTGGCTGACATGGAATAATCTATATAGACCAGGTTGGCCTGGAACTCACAGAGGTCCACTTGCCTCTGCCTCCCCAGTGCTGGGATTAAAGGCATGTGCTACCATACTCAGCCTAATAACCTATTTTTTTAACGAACTGGATTTAAAGTATTAAAATAAGATCCTACTATGCAATTGAAGACTGACCAAGTAGTATTTCTTTTAACACTTGATACTCGGGTGTTTGTTGTTTTTTTTTTTTAAAGGGGGGGAATAGATGTAATTGATCTTAAATGAATGGTGGCAGTAAAACAATGGAATTTGTGCTATATAGTCTTCAATGAACTGGGGAATTGGCTTGTCTATTACAAGGAGCCAGCAGGGTCTGGGGTAGGTCCCCTTTTATCTTACATATATCCCTTTTCAGAAACTTATTAGCATAATTAGGAGAATCCTCCAAAAGGAAGTTCCTTAAGTAATTTCCTACAGGATTGCTGTAGCTAAGCACTGGGTGTGGTTGGGTGTTTTCTTGGCACAGTCAACAACACACTAGGAATAGAGGGAGGGAGAAGAAAGATCTACCATACTAGATACTCTAGGTGCAGAAAGAGCCAGGGGCTCCAACCCAGACCAAGAAAGATGAAAAAATAAAAGAAGACCAGAGGAACAGGGAGTAAGAAAAAGACTTTCTACACACCCCATCCAAGTGAAAAACTGTGCAAGCTATGACTTAACCAAGTGTGAAACTGTCTCCTTCTATCTTATGTCCTCCTAGTAGAAAATATTCTTGCTTTACAATCTTAATAATTAGTCCATTATTTCTCCAATTGTTTGAAAGGTGACAGGTAAAAGACCATAAATCAACTTGTTGACCACTATTACCAAATTACAGCATTTGGAAGTAAAATTCTTAAATACGAGCTGCTTAGAACATCATGAGGCACATAAGATCGCTCAGTAATCGCCAGTTACTACTGCCTCAGCTGTCACCATCATTGTCATCATCATCTTTGTCATAATGCCATCCTTGTCACCACCCCATCCTCCAAGGGCACTCTTAGTCGTCCTCTGTTTGTCTCATTTGGAAATTTCTATTCTTGTCTAAAACAATAGAAATGAACCAAAAGTAGCCTTTTCTTATTGATATTTTCATCCCAAGGGTTGAAACAAAATATTTATATTAATCTATATATTTTAAACTTCCAGAACTTTAGTATTCATATTACCAAAATTAAAGCCATTTTTCTATTTTCCATAGGCCTCTAGAAGTGAACACTGATGCCATTTCTGGTACTTATTCTGCAATAGCCCCAGGGCTACTTCCCAGTGTGGCTCTTATGCAGCCAGGTATTTGAGACCAACAGAACTCAGCAATCCCACTTGCATCCTGGTCTTCCCTAGCTTGACTATCACGAAAGTCTTACCTTAGAGGAAAAACAGAAGCTTAGGGTTCAAGTCTCAAATCTGCATATTAACTAGAAGACAGGCAAAGCTGGTCCTGCATCAAACCTGACACTGCTAAGCAGAAATCCACAAGGGATGTGTGGGCAGTTTCTATAGCGGACACCTGGGGGCCTATTGCTATAGGTAGTCTCCTTATCATGGTAGCGCAGACCTAGAGAAAACCTTCTGAAGCAGGTGGTCTTCACAACTCGCCCAGAGATGTTCAGATCTGAAAATAACCTACGACAGTTCATCCTGTCCCTAGTCCTGCAGCCTGCATCCCTAAGGACAGAAGACACACATCTGGCCTACTATGCTGATACCAGAGGAGTATATAGGATCTTGGGCAGTATATCACAAAAGAATCTCTCATGAACCATTAGACACATATGAAAAGTGATGTACAAACATTTTCAAAGCTAGATCAAATGGGCCCTACAGAAACTAGAACCCTCAAAGTACCTTTTCTCTCCTGGTGGTTCTGGGAAGCTATATGCTCTTTGCTCTGTAAGAAACAAACAAAGAAATGAAAACTAAGAGACAAACTAGCAGTCACTTGTCAGTCTGAAATAAAAGTCACAATACTTTATCATTTTACAACATATTACCAGCTAGAAAATAATGAGAAAACAACTAATTTTCTATGCATAAGGCATCTCTCTGCATGTCTTTATTGCATTCCCTAGTTTGAAGGAAAAAAAGGTCAACTTTATGACTTCGTGAACTAAATATCAGCAAAGGGAAGCAGATGGTTTTCAGAAGTACAGAAAATTCATTGTATGTTTTTGGACACTTCTCAATGGGACATCATCCCTTACTGTAACACTAATTCCCCAATGTACAGAATCAGTAAGCAAAACTCTAAGGAAGTCTTGAAGGACAACACAAGGAAGAGTCTAGCTTAATACAACTACAATTATAAAATCCTCAAGGCTTCATTCACAGAGGTGTTCTGTGGCTCACGGAAAGTGGAACCACTTTTCCCATTGGATTTGTGGGGTAGAAGGGCAGGCTCATACAGACGTAGAGCCATCTTGTTTCCAGAACTGGAGTACTTACTACAGGGGCGAAGCAGAGACTTAGACAGGGAGAGAGACAGTGGGAGGGAGCAGCCACTGTGGAACACACGGTCTACAGAGCAGTACAAATCCTTTACCAATACAGTCCAGAGTGGAAAAGAGGAGAAAGTAAGGTGTAAAGAGGAATGAGTCAGTCACACAGATCGCAAATAAATATCCCCTGAAATATGTAAATACCAGTGCTATACCCAGTACTATCTTGTACATAATAGAAAATCTACTTTGAGAAAGTCAAAGGCTTTAGTCTATGGTCATTATAAAATGTTTTTCAAATTAAGTCATATACCAAAATCATCATTCTTACCATAAATAAGGTTAAGTTCTAAGAAATTAAGAGAGCTAAGCTTAACAACTTCTAAAATAATAGAACAGATTTAGGCAAGTAGACACAATCTAATAGAATCCCATCCATCAGTTCATAGTAACTCCTAAAAGTATGCTGATGTCACTCCTCAAACTAAGTATGCATATGGTACACATGGTGCAGTTGTAGTTATTATTTATGTTCTTTTCTATAGAAACCTACAAAATATCAAAGGGAATTATAAAACTGGAATTTATTTTGTCTATTCAAAACACTAAATACTAAAGCTACAGCCATTAATCCCTTACAAATAAATAAATAAATAAATAAAAGATAGGCTGGCAAGAGAAATACTAGCAAGCAACCCTTCAAAAGTGACAAGGAACAGAGCATGTCAAAACAGAATTAAAAAAAAAAAAAAGAATTAAAAGCTGGGTATGGTAGTACTCTCCTTTAATCCCAGCACTCAGGAGGCAGAGGCAGATGGAGCTGTGAGATCAAAGCCAGTCTGGTCTACAAAGTGAGTTCCAAGCTAGCTGGGACTACAGGGAATCCTGACTCAAAAAAAAAAAAAAATCATGTCCAGCGTCCAGCATGGTGGCACACACCTTCAATTCCAGCACCCGCTGTGTCAAAAAATGGGGGTCGAAAGTAGGGGGGAAAAAAGGAAAACCGGAATAAAAAAAAAAAAAAAAAAAAAATCAAGACTGGAGAGATGGCTCAGCAGTTAAGAGACCTTGATGCACTTACAGAGGACCAGAGTTCAGTTCCCAGCGCCCACAACTGCCTGGGCACCCGCACAGACATACATTCAGACATGCTAAAACACAAATAAATATAAATAAGTCCTTAAAAACTAATTAAAAAGATGACAAAAGCATCCAAAGTTTGGATATCTGTAATACACCTCATACAAGGGAGCTTCCTTCTTGGGCAAAGGGAGACTTGGACTCTGTTCAAATAGAGGAAATTTTAGGACTATGCAAAATTCAGCAAGAGAGACTGTAACACAAATGCCAGTTTACTACTGATTCATCCAAGCAAACTAAACAAGGAAACATTAGAATATGTCTTTGAACTAGGCAAGCTTTTGCACCTGTGTTTTGAGTACGTAAACACTTCCTGATTCTTCTTTCTTCATTAGCAGGCAATTTACTCTTTGTAGACTTATAGGTTTGCCTGACCCATGAATGGCATCAATGCAGTTGTTGGCAACTGTACAGATTCTGTCCACTAGAATCTTCACATGTGTTTTGTACTGTATCAACCTAAATTATCTGGTTCTAATTCTTACCTTCTAGATGGTATCAAACTTCATTCAAATGGCCCTGTCTTTAACACACTGTTTAGAGACAATGTTTTATTTATAGATTAAAAAGGCAACAAAGGAACTGATATCAGCTTTTAATTTCTTCTGATTCAAATGCAAAGATTTAAGGCTTTATTTAATAACTTAATGAAACTTTTCCTCAACAATTTCAGTTACCAGGTCACTAACTTCAAGCTTCAGGACTTTCTGACTTCGAAGGTCAGAGAAACCAAGGATATGGGATGGATATGGCATCCTCAGTGGACGATTCAAATATTCTTCCCAAATAGCAACAGTGTGGAGCTAAGTCCAGCTAGGACTACTGATGAAAAGGTATCAAATTACTGTTAAAGGGGCCATAACTAATGGCTGAGGAGACCCAAGAAAGAACCATGAAATGAAAAAAAATAACAATAATCTAGAGGAAATTTAATCCACATTCTCTTCCTTATCCTCTTACAGTGCTTATATCTGTCTTTATTTTCTTGAGAACATTTTTTCCCCAATTCTGCTCATTCCAAAATAAAAACATTAATGACCAGTCTTTCTCCTAAAACTGCATCCCAGGAATAATGGGGAAAACCACAAAGTAGCACTTGCCAAGTTATCTCTCTATCTTAGTCATTCAACAAATCTTTATTGAATTGGTCCCATATAGCATTGTTTTAGAATAGCAGTCCCAAGCACAAAGATTGTACTCTTTGCATTGTTTCACATGGCATAAAAATGCAAAATAGCAATAAAACTGTAAGAAACTAAGAAGGAGAAAAAAGAAAGGAAAACATGAAGTAAATCGTATTTTAAATGTTGCATGTTGGGCCTATATCTCACTTTCTGAACCTTGAACAAGGAGATCAGACAAGAAAGGCATTATCTAATATAATGAGAATTTTTCATTAAAATGACATGCATTTGACACTGACACAAACACTTCCAAATGTGCCTTTAAGTCCAATTATTACATAATATGAAATAATTGCATTTCAAAGTAAAGCTTGAAATTCGAGCAGTGGCTGAGAGTGTCTCCTCAGAGCTCTGATTTGCCTATAGGTTTTCTACTTATAGATCTGAATTCATTTTGGAAAATTAAACTGTACTCTTCCAAGTTGCTTCCTTTTGTAGACATGCTATATTTCAATAAAAGTTTGTTGTAAAAAAGTTCTATTTCTTGTTCCTTGCTTTGCCAGTCTCCCAAGATACTGAGATGTAGCTACTCATATTGTGAAAGCGTTACTTCAGCTCTCCAAAACCCTTGCTGAATAAAAAAGAAAAACAACTCCATTTTGCAAAGCTTTTCTGTCTCTGAGGAGCTGTCTCTCAGCACTTTATACATAGCACAAAAGTAACTTTTATAATTTACATAAATAAAATCCTCTAAGGCCCTCACAGAAATATACCTGGAATCAATTCTTGTTCGCACTATCCTTGAGGAAAACATTTTAACAATAAAGCATCCAAGAAGTGTGCACATATGTATAATTTTATCAAAATTAAATCTATGGTTTGACTGATGTCCAATGAGGAAAAGATTTTACTAAGTTTAGAAAAATCAATTTGGAAAGAGGATTGAAACTTTCCTGCAGTTCCTGTGTTTTGTGTACATAGACTGACTCTGGAATGGAATGTGTTCCAAGCCAGATGGTAAACAGCACCTACCTTCACTTGAATTGCACACCATAAAATCTCGCACTAGCCGAGATTTTCCCAAAGAGATTTTGGGTGAGGAGCAGGAATAAGAACGTGAGCGGATTCCAGAAAGCACAGATTCCTAAAAAAGATCATAATGTTACCAAATTACAGATTCCAGAACACAAAGGCTCCTGAGAAAGACAGCAATTTTACCAAATCACTACCTTTGAAAAAACACTCAACCTGAACATTTATTTATTTATTTATTTATTTATTTACCCTGGGGATTGAACCCAGAACCTCATGCATGCTGGGCAGGCACTCCATCGCTCAGCTACATCCCTAACCCATTCTTTATCATTTTTAAAAATTTATTGTTTTTATTTTATGTGTATGAGTGTATTGCCTGCATGTAGGTAGGTGCATCTGTGTCATGCAATGCCCAAGGAGGGCGTCAAGTCCCCTGGAACTGGAACAACAGATGGTTGTTAGCCACCATGTGGGTGCTGGGAATTGAACCCAGGTCCTCTGCAAGAGCAATCAATGCTCTTAACCACTGAGCCATCTGTCCAGCCCCTATAATTTATTTTAAGACAAAGTCTTGGTGAGTTGCCCAGGCTGGCCTTGAACTTGTGATCCTCCTGTCTCTGTTCCAACTAGCTTGGATAACAGACCTGCACCACTAGGCCTGGCAACATTTCTTATATAATCTTTTTTTCAGTATTTATTTTTTATTGAATTTTTGTGCATTTCATATAATATATCATAATCCTATTTAACCCCCTCCCCTATCTGCACCACACCCCATAACCCCCCACCAGATTTCATGCATCTTGTCATATACATTAAGGCCTATCAAGTCAAGTTTGTGTCCCCAGATGTCCTCAGTGTGAACTCATTCACTGGAGCCTGGTTAGCTTAGCCTTTTTTGGCCTCTCGCTGCTTTTTAACCATTTTCTTTTTAATGCTTTAGTAAATTCAAACTTGAGGGAATAGCTCTTATACATGAATAAGGATACCACTATGCCATTCCAACAACCTATTTAAAAATGGAAAATTATGTCAAATGACTTTCTCTGAATGTTCAACAATGAATTTGACTTGTTTTTACCTGAATTCTTTTTTTCTTTTTTGGTCAGTTTATACTGCAGCATTCATACAAAATTCTATGCTGAGATCTCTATCCTTAAAGATTATTAGAAGGTAGAGAAATATCTTCTTAAAATTCTAAGAGGTTTTAAGCTTACCAATGACCGTTTAATTTATAGTGTCAGTTACAGCCTCTAGGACAAAATACATTGGGCCAATATATACAACTCCTTTTCATCTGTGCTCACTGTTCAATAGACTTTCTACCTGTACTTCCCAGAGCGATGCTCGATTATGGCTGACTTATACAATGTAATGTTAATATTATTCATTTTTAATGACCTGCCATTTTGCTCCTGCTTTCCCAATTACATGTTATTCCAACTATTATATTTGCAACATACATAAAAATGCAAGATGGCAAGATAATTAAAACATGGTTTTCTTACATGTTCCAGAAATTTTAGATGAATACGCAATAGAACTCGTTAAAGCCATTTATGGTATTCAACTCCTATTCCATACAGGTCTTAGGATTAATCCTACCCATGTATTTTTTTTTAAGGTATCACTTAAGGTTAGGGCTAAAAGAAAGTAATGCAAAATTCTTTACTAAAATTAAGTCATCACAAACTGTCCTTCTCGATCACTGGTCTTGCTCGTCCTAAGTGAAAACACATGGTTCCTCAGAGTTCATTGGTTAAAGAGCCCCGGGGCAAAGCTGAACACAGAAGCCTGACCCAGCTTCAAAGGGCTTTGGCCCCAGCTGTCTTATCTGGGAGCGACCACTGGGCCTGGAGGCTGACTAACTGGATGTTGAGCTGTACTGTACCCCAAAAAGGCCACAAAGGGCTGCCAAATGCCATTCTCTTCACTTAAGTAATGTATGGTAATCATTATTCATGACAATGGAACTTTGAAAACTGTCCAAAACCCTTAGGCAAAGTTAGACTGGATAATTGCAGAGGCAAGGCAAACCGAGCTATGCAGGACAGTCTTCTTAAAACTGAACACGAAACTGTTTCAGACTTACTTTTCATTCCAAGAAATAAGTTTTTCACAATTCCATTCAAAATCAAAATTAGTTAGTATCAACATTCAGAATGATACCCATTTTTTCCTTTGATCATATTCATCCCCACCTCTATTTCTTATTACCCAGAATTATCATATGTCATTCAGGCTCAAAAGATATAATTGCTCAATAGGTCTCTGAGGAAAAAGGATTGAGGTTCTGTGATCAGAAGACCTTGATTTAAGTAATAACTGTGTCACCAACCTGGGGCTCCCAAGATAAAAATCTAATCATTTTCAGAGCCCCGGTTACTCAAAGAATAAAATAAAAGCATCACTGGTGTCCTAGGTGGGTTGTAACAAAATAGGGTCATACATAAAACCATTTTGTAGATTATAAGGCATGTTGCAAAAATAAGATACTATCTTAATAACCATATGTTCTTGGTAGAACTTTCGGCATCTTAGACAATGTTTTATAGTAGGGAATACAATTTAAGAAAAGTAAAAGATGATGGAAATCAAATATGAAGAAAAAATATGTTCAAAACAGAAGCTCTTTCTTTGCAAAACTGAATGAGTATTTTTAAAGTTATTTATTTATATTGTATGTGCATGAATGTTTGCCTGCATGTATGTATATATACCATGCGCCTACAGTGCCTGCAGAAGCCAGAAGAGGGTGTTGCATCTCTTAGAACTGGAGTTAAAGGTGATTGTGGTGCTGGGAACCAAACCCAGATCCTCTAGAAGAGCAGCAAATGCTCTTAACCTTTGAGACATCTCTCTAGACCCTTATTTATTTAAAACACAGACACACACAGACACACACACACACACACACACACCAAAATGAAACTGTCATATGGAATTTCCAAGAAGAAAAACTCTGTAACCCCTAGAAAAGCTGACAAAATTACTGATGTTACAGATTAGTTCAGGAAGCCAGGAATGCCCAATAAACATCACCTTTGCTTTACTGACAGCATCTGCTTCCTCACTTGGACCAGGCAGAAAGCTATGTATGCACACTGAGTTTGATCACTTGAAGAAGGTTTGTAGGAATCATTACATGAAATGTTAATGTTTTCCACATATACTCCTTGTAAACTAGTAACATACCAACCACTGGAAGAGCTGTGAAAATTAAAATGGAGTGGCAGAAACTGAAAAGCAGGCTCGAGTATATATCACACAAGTCTCCTTGACACATGTACACAAAACTTCATAGATGTGAATAAAATAGAATTTGTCTCACAGTAAAGATGACTACATTGAGAAAACATTCTGTGCATTTACAATAAGCTGAATTAATATCAGAAAGGATACCTTTGAATGCAGATTACTTGATAGAGAAAGTGATTCGGTCCTGGAGATATTAAAATCTGGCTCAGTACTGGTCTCTAAAGAGTCCAGTTCATCCCCGCTGGGAATCCCAGTTCCCAAGGAACTCTGAGAGGCGGGAGTGTAGCAAACATGTGGCTGCTCAGTACTGCCCTTCCCTTCACTGTCAGCAACCAGGGCGTCCAGGCTGGAACTAAAGCATGGGGAAGTCACACAGTGAGCACACTGACCAACATTGGTTTCTGTCTTTCTGAGTTCAGATTTTCTCGGTGTGAGATGCAATGAGCAGTCATGTAATTTCTCACCAATACTGGTTTCTAATCTTTTGTGTTTATCTCTCCAGATCTTCTGAAGCAACATTTTTGTTTTTCTTTTTATTGTACATGTATGTCCCATGGCACACATATAGAGGTCAGATGACAGACAACTTGTGCTCTGGGGGTCAAACTCAGGTTATCATGCTTGGTGGCAAGTGCCTTTACTTGTTGGGCCATCTCATCGGTCTTTTAAACATAACTTTGTTTCCTCAATGAACATTTCTACCTAGTAAAAGCCACTTCATTTACTTTACAAAAGTGTATTTGTGTTAGTTCTGATCTCACTATTTTTGTTTTGTAAATGTCATTCTTACAAGCCATATATAGTAATCATTCAAATACTGAACACGCAGATGATGCTAAGCCACTGGGCTGTTTGCAGCGTCTGTTGGGGGTGAAATGGGGAACATGCAGTCAGCATTCCCTTAGCTTCAGCGGGAATGCCAGGAGGGCAGAGGTGAGAAGAGTGGAATGAAGAGCTCACCTCAGTGTTGGGACAAGACATGGGTCAGAAATAACTTGCATGTGAAGGAGATCTTAAGGATGTCACATCTTTGGAGACTTATCAGAAATGATTATGCTTGACTACAACCCTTTCTCTCTATCTGACTTTCATAACCATCAAGTTAAAAGGAAAGAATTTGACCTTCTACTTTCCAGGTTCAGTTCATCATAACGTCTACATTATGAAACACTCCAATGTAATGGCCCACAGTGTTCACAAGTGTGTTAACACGGATGCACTTTTAAGTGTATTTTTCCCGTGGCTGCTTCAGTGCTGGAGGAGAGGTTTTAATTCAGCACCACACAGGAAAACCATCTTGACTTTGAACTATAAACAACCAGAAGATGAAATTTTGAATAAATCCATTTAATAAAGGACAATCAAGTTCACAAATCACGCGATTCTTAGATAGAGTTTTTACTCCGTGCTTCTAAAGCAAACCTTAAATCAGTTTCTAACCCTGAGCCATTCTGTGGGCACAAGGGGGAACTGGGAGGCTTGTAGTAGCTCCAGGCCATGGTTAGCCTCAGTGAAGGTCCCTCCTTCAAGAACCCACTGAGGATCCTTACCTTGGCACTGAGCAGAAGAGGGAATTGGAGGTGCCCTTCAACTTGACTGTCTCTCAACTTGTGATCTCTGTACTCATAAAACTGACCATAAGTGATTGGCAACCTGTAATAATGTCCCACTTCAGGTACAAGCCTTTCCAGCTATGGTCCAAGTTTCTCCATCATATGAACATCACCCTAAATGCTCCAGTATCACACTATTTTCAACTAAAAAGGATTTCCATTTCTTCTTCCATTAATCCTAATTAAACTGCTACTGCTATTCACTAAACTATGAAACTGTTACTACTCTTTACTAAGTGGAAGATTATTACAGATTGCCAATTGCTTCCGGTCAGTTTTATGAGTATAGAGATCACAAGCTGAGAGACAGTCAAGTTGAAGGGTACCTCCAATTCCCTCTTCTGCTCAGTGCCAAGGTAAGGATCCCCAGCGAGTTCTTGAAGGAGGCTACTACAAGCCCTAAGTTACCAGTGGCATAGACGATGTTTTCTCCAAATTCTCATATTACAATCAGATCCCACCAATGGGATATGGAGTCAGTTCATTAGGTTAGGACCAGAATTTTCCTTTATAGTAACATAAAAAGGAAGACACCAGAATAAATTCCACATGCCATTGCAAAAACTTGGCTTAGGGGCTGGAGAAATGGCTCACCAGCTAAGAACATTGGCTGTTCTTGCAAAAGACCCAGGTTTAAATCCCAGCACCCACATGACAGGTAACAACTGTCCGTAAGTCCAATTCCAGGGGATGTGACAGCCTCTTCTGTCCTCCCTGGGCATTGCACGACACGATATGGGTGCACTTACATACATGTAGGCAATACACACATACACATTTTTTTAAAAAAGTTTAAATTTGGGGGAGGGGGAGCGTACTGAAGAGTTGACTTGAAATAGTCTCTTTTTTAACTGTAGATTATGATGAAACAAAAAAGAGTTTGAAATACGTAAGTTTTAAAATGAAGCAAATACTTCTTTCCTATCACCTAGGTTTTTGTTAATACATTAAAATGCCTGTTTTATGGCTTATTTTTCCTTTGTGGCTTCTCAAAAGAACAATGGACTTTAAATGATATAATGCTACATATTGTACAGATTTCACTAAAATGCTGTTTTTAGAAAGTTAATTTTAATGGTAAATATAGTCATAGAAGGAAAAGACTTCCAAATAAATAAAATATAGAGGATGAATGTCTTGTCACGTGGGAAATACTTGTGTGACAGCAGTTCCTCTGATAGCACACCACTGAAGGCAGAGTCACTAGACATGACTGACACATTTCATCAAAACCTCCTCTCAGCTCCATCTGTCACTGGCAAATGACTTTGTCTTTGCTAAACTTTCATGCAGGAAAACGGAGTCGTTGAAATGTGCCCACAGGTAGAGCTGAAACTAATAAAATCATTGGACATTCTGACTGATGGAAAATCTACAGTGTTTTGGCTTTTCTGCTACCACGGATATGCTAAAGAAAATATTCCCAATTTGATAGGATCAAAAATGATATTTATTTTGCAATATATGTTAACTATAACTAAGAAAGAAGAAATGTGAAAATGAACAAATTAATTGCAAAGATAGATGATAGATAGATAGATAGATAGATAGATAGATAGATAGATAGATAGATAGATAGATAAGGGGGGGGAGAATTTTCCCTTTGGGAAAGTAATCCATTATCAAGAGAGAGAACATGCATGTTCTTTGTGATCTAAACATAGCCATATGGGCTTTTCCATATTGAGGAAATTTAGCTATGAGTTGAAATACATGAAAATAACCATGACATCTGCCTGAGTCAACTGTGTATAAGCCACTGCTACTGTAAGGTCCCTGCAACTGTCTTACTAGGATTTCAGATTGACTTGAATGTTATGGTAAACCTATACTTGCCACACTTCTCAGAAGTGTTCGTGTGGCTGTGCACATATGCCCCATAACAGTAAGTTGCCTCGTTTTACATTCTGTAAGAATGAAATCTATTTGTGGGTTACATTTTTGGCTCAACTTTATGCTTCTGAGATGCATATTAGATAGATATAGATTTGTATTTAATTCATTTTCTTTACAATATTTCATTTGCACAATTTAAATTATGTGTAACTGTGTCTACTATTCATTCAAGTTATTTCCTGCTGCTATAAATGCTTATGCATGCGTCCGCTGATACACAGTTGTGAAATGTCTCTTCAACTTTACAAAATAATGTCAAATTATTTCCCAAAGTTGTTAATAATGCTCTCAATTGCATATAAGAGTTGCCATGGTATGCATATCACCAAGACATGGTATTTATTAATAGACTTTTCAGTTTCTATCAATGTATTAAGCACAAGGTAGCATCTCATTGTAACTTTCTCCTATCGCATTTTAATTGGCTTTCTTAAGTGTCTCACTTTCAAATCAACAAATGTAGATAATAAAAAGGAAGCAACATTTTGATGTAAAGATAAACATGACAGACAATTCAGAAATGAAACTCTTCAAGGTCTAGCTAAGAAGCTGCTCTTACTTTCTCCCACTTTCCTCTAGAATACAGTATCTTACCTTCTTTTCTTTAGATGATTCTGTTCCTTTTCGAATTCATGAAGACCGAAAGAAAGACTCAAATTGGAAGTGCAAGAACTGGCTGGTGACATGAAGGGCTGCAGGGCCACGGTGTTTGCTATCCCTTCTCGGTCCCCACCAAGTGGGTGCATGTGGGGACTGGGGCCAGGAGGAAGGACATGTTTGCAAGCCTGAGACCCTAGGGTGGACCCCATGGAGTCAGGGCTGGTGTGGGCAGAGAGTCCCTCTATGTTAATATAGTTGATATCCAAATCACCAACCTGGAAATTAGAAGAAAAAATTTTACTCAACAAAACCAGGAAAGAGTGGTTTGGTTAAGAATGAATGAAACTTTCAGAGTTAAAAATCTCCACCTAATTTGTTTTTGTTTTTGTTTTTCTCATTCGTGCTTCATGTAAGTACAGGATTCCTTCAAGGTCTGTCTGTGTTCAAAAAGGAAGACTACTTCATAAACTTATTCTTTATTATAAAACCAGAAACTGATTCTGCTTTTCACACTTTATGAACCCCAAACTCAAAATGAGTGAGTGATACTTAAAATACTTGAGAAAACACCAAAAACTATGGGGTTTTATTCAAAATGCATTTCATCAAAACCTTGGTAATCAAGTTAATGGTGGGTACATAAATCTGGGTCTCTCCAAAAGCATCACCAAAGGAATAGCAAATCAAGCTACATAAAATACATTGGATAGTTAAAAGACTAGAAATGCCCCAAATTTCAAATTACTTTTAAAGAAAACAAGCATTAAATCCAGCAAACACCACCTCAGCTCACACCATAAGACTTTGGAGAGAGTAGGAACAGTCTGGAAATAATCAAGAGAAGAAAGAAGAGGGAGCCAGAGATGGGCCTGAAACTTCTCTAATGTTTATCAACAGAAAGCTGCCCAATCTGCACTCATGAAAACAACCCTGTTGATGAAAACGCTTGCTCTTAGAAACAGGCTTAAAAGTACTTGTGATTTAGGTAGTGGTTGTCCAAAAGCATCATCTCTAGAAAACAGCAAAAAGGAAGAAATTAACACCATTTGGAGATAGGGATGGAGGCTGAAGGAGTAGTTCAGTGGTCGAGTGCACGCTTAGTATGTGCAAAGCCCTGGGTTTGATTCCCAGCACCGAAAAGAGAAAGGAAAAGCAGAACGAATGGAAATGTTAGGGTCCTAAAATCATCAAGCATTATCCTAATAATTTACCAAGAAAACCCATCAGCAAATGCTTAAAGTAGTAAATAAGAATCTAAGAGCAACAGAAAGGGCTGGGGTCATAGCTCAGTTGGTAAAGTGCCCACCACCGAATCAACAACTTCAAAGAGACCATGACTCATAACATACAGTAGACTCAGGTGAGGTGGTGCATGCCTTTAACCCCAGCACTCAGAAGGCAGAAGCAAGCAGATCTCTGTGATATCGAGGCCAACCTGGTCTACATAGTGAGTTCCAGGCAGGCTGGGCCTCCAGGAAGACCCTGTCTCAAAAAGATTTTTTTTAAATGCAGTAGAAAGTGTCTGAAGAAAACACCCAGAATTGAGCACTGGCCTCCACACACATGTACACACACACGAACATGTACATATCCACCATACACAAATACATACACACACACACACACACACACACACACACACACACATAAGAGTAACAGAAAATTTGTGGAAACTCAAAATAGTTCCTAAAGAATATTAAGAATTTATAAAAGAAAAGAAACTTGGCAGATCAATGATAAAAATCATCAGAAATTTTCTTTTACCACATAGATCATTATTGAGACAACTGGCTAATCCTGACTAGAATCTGATGATAGCTAGCAGTATTTTGTCAGTGAGAACTTCCTGATTTTAATAAATATGTTGTGTTTATGTAGAGTTTTAATAAATGTGTTTATGTTTTTAGGAAAATACATCATGAAAAATTAAGTAATAATCAAGGAGTCGAGGGGGAATCAGTTACCCACCCACCAAATCAGTCAACTTTAGCTACATGTGGGGGGAGGGGCAAAGGATATATAAGCCGAGAACACCAAGAGGCATCTCTCTCACCATTTTGTGTGGCTGTCGGGAGGTCACAGGATCTGTATTTGAGAATGAATTTTATGGTATAGCCATAAGTGCAGTATGCCCACTCTTCTGTAAATAAACCCCTACCCTATGCTCTGTTAAAATAATAATAATAATAATAATAATAATAATAATAAATAAAATATTTTAAAAATACATGTTATGTACAGAATGCTTATTATAGTATTAAATGCAAAAATAAAAATTAAATTATAAAAATTGGCAAAAAAAAGAAAAATTAAGGAATAAAAAGACATCATATTTTCTATTTATTCTCAATGTTAAAATTTTACATTTCTAGTTTGGCCATTTGCATGCACACATGCACCAAAACTCAATAAAACAGTAAAGTAAAATATAAAGTATTAACACTGGAGGAGCTGGGCTAAAAGGAACACAGAGACTCTTTGTATTAAAGCTATATAGGCCTGAATTACAGCCAAAGAGATGTTTTTGTGACATAGTTTATATGATAAAGAAAATTTCAAAGTAGTTTTCAACATATGGATTTCTTTACCATGTTTTTCAAGATTGCTAACCTTGAAAACGGATGGGAAACAGCACAGCATATGAACTAAGGATGTTCATGTTTCTGAGTCAGGTTGAAGGAAACAAAGGAGTTTAGATCAAATTCTTTCCAGATATTGTGGAAATTTACTATTCAGAAATTTGTCCTTGCTATTCAAGTGTACAGAACATAAAAAAGCTCTAAGATGTAATGAACTTTGTGAGTTAGGTGCACTAGTTTATTTCTCGGTTTTAATTGCATAAACTCAGCAGTCTTTTGCTGCTTCCGTTTATTGAATTAAGTTGCCTCCATTCTCTTTTTCTTATTTGTTTTATATTACTAAAGCAATATTTAGCTCATCCAAAATATTTCCAATGGAAATTATATCCTAACTTCATCTTTGGTTTAGGAATTTTTTTTTAATTTTAGTGCATTTGGGAATACTGTAAAGACAGTTTCTCTCACATAAAATTGAGGCGGTCATAATTTTAGTTAGTTGGGGTAAATGGAAGTACTATTACTATAACTCTCAGTGATGCTCAGAACCAGATAAATAAAGATGCAAGAAGTCTTCCATTTAAACTACGGGGGGAAATGTAGCAAAAGAAAAAATTCATTAAAATCAGAACATGACAAATATCAGCAACTGAAATCTATAAAACACTGATGAGAGAATTTTTAAAAGACACAAATAGATGAGACAATAGCCATGTTCTCATGGCTTGAAAGAACTGACATTATCAAAATGCCTAAAATGTGACCTACGGGTTCAACGAAACACCTGTCAAAATTCCAATGGCATTCTTCACAGATACAGAAAACAATTCTAAACTCTGTATAGAACCACAACAGAGCCAGCGTAGCTAAGGCAATGTTGAACAGGAACAAAGCTGAAGGCTTCCTGCTCCCTAGTTTCCGAACATATTACAAAGTTACAATAATCAAAACAATACAGGCTTAGCATAACAACTGACACATAGATAAATGGAATAGAAAAAAAGGTCTCAAAATAAGCCCACAAATACATAATCAACTAATCTTCAACAAAGGCACTGAAAGTATGACAGATAAAGGATTGCCTTCTTGATAAACAATACTGGGCAAATTAGACATCCACATACAACACAGAGCCATCGGATTCCCTTCTAATACCATACACACACACACACACACACACACACACACACACACACAGAGAAATCAATCCAAAATGTATTAACCATAGAATCTGAAAACATAAAAGTCCTACAAGAAAGCACAGGCAAAAAGCTCCATGACTTTGATCTTGTCAAAGATAGTCTTTTGATATGCTACCAAAAGCACAGGCAGTAAAAGCAATGTAAATAAGCAAGACTACATAACCTAAAGTCTCTTGCAGCAAAAGAGGCCAGCAAAAAAATAAAGAGGGGGTGCTTACAGAACAGTAGAAAATAGTTTCAAACCATATATCTGATAAGGAGTCAACATCCAAAGTCTACACAGAACCTGTACAACTCAATAGCAAAACAAAACAACCAAATAATGTGATTTAAAAAGAGGCCAGGCATGGTGGTGCATGCTTTTAATCCCAGCACTCGAAGGCTGAGGCAGGTGGATCTCTGTGAGTTCAAGGCTAGCCTGGTCTACATAGTGAGTTCCAGGCAAGCTGGGGCTACAGAGAGACCCTGTCTCAAAAAGACCAAAACAACAACAAAAAAAGGCAAAGGGCCAGCAAGGTGGTGGCTCAGTTGGTAAAAGCATTTGTCAGGCAAACCTGATGGCCTGAGTTCTATCCCTGAAGTCCATTGTGAAAGGAGAAAACTGACTCCCCCAAAGTTTTCCTCGTTTCCACACTTGCACCATAGTCTGTGCACATCTGCACACACACACACACACACACACACACACACACACACACACACACAAACACACACACACGCACTTGTCACCACCACCACCAACAACAACAACAACAAAAATAAAATAATTTTTAATGGTCAAAGGACCTAAATAGACATTTTTCCAAAGAAGACTCTAACAGCCACCATGCTCATGAAAAGATACCTGTTCGCTAGTCATCAAATGAATGCAAATCAAAACCACAGTGAACTATCACTTCACATCTGTCAATATAGCTGTTACCAAAAAGTCAACAGAAAAGAGTTAGTGAGGAAGTAGAGGAGGGAACCCTACCACACTATTGGTGGGAAATTAATTTGGTACAACCACTGGTGGGAAAATAATTTGGTATAACCGTTATTGAAAACAGCACACAGCTTCCTCAAAAACTCAAAATATAAGGACCCTACAAACCAGCATCCCCACTGCTGGGTACATATCAGAAGGAAATCAAATCACTCTCCTCAACAGTTTGGCATCATTATTTACAATATCCAAGACAAGAATCTCCAAAATGTCCATCAATGAACAAATAGACAAAATATGGCATATGTGAGTCAAACAGAAACAAAGAGACAGAAAGAGATTATCCAGTCTTTAAAAAGAGGAAATTCTGCAAGAACAATCAGTGTTCTTAACCACTGAGCCATCCCACATGGCAGCTAACAACTGTCTGTAACTCCAGTCCCAGGGGATTGGACAGCCTCTTCTGACCTCTGCGGGCATTGCACGACATGGGTGCACTTACCTCCATGCAGGCAATACATGCATATACATAAAATAAAAAATAAATAAAGTATTTAAAAAAGAGGAAATTCTGCATTTAGGATGAAACTGAAGTGAGAAGATAGACTAATTGAAATAAACCAAACACAGAAATATAAATATCACATGAGTTCAGGTATATATGGAATCCAAAGAAGTCAAAACCAGTGAGGACAAAGGAAGTTACGAAGAGTTAGAAAGTGAGGGAGAATGTGCAGAGAACAAGAAGAGGCTACAGACTGCTTATCTCTGAATAGGACACCTATCTAACTTCTGCCACCCCAAGGCTCAGGGGACCATTGTGGAAGAGAGGGCTGAAAGAGTGTAGGAGCCAGAGGTAATGGATGACCACAAGGAAACAGTTTTCCAGACAGCTGGGAAGTTACTCACATGAACTCACAGTAATGGTAACAACATGCACAAGTCCCATGCAAGTTCAAGCCAGACAAAATCCCAGCATAGATGTGGAGAAGTGGGGAAGAAGCTCCAACCCCACCTTGAGAAATCCTGGCAACTGATGGATGCTGGGGGGACAGCGACAGTGTAGTTCAAGGATGGGACTCATGATAGGTTAACCAGGCTCCAGTGGATAGACCCATACTGAAGGATATTTGGAGACACTAATTAGACTATATAGGCCATAATATATATCTATATATCTATATCTATACACACATATTACTGACTACATTAAAGTGCCCTACATTGGGTAAGGGGCAATAAGGAGAGGTGTGGATAGGGGAGGGGATCTAACTACCATCGAATTATATTGTATGCAAATTACAAAAATTCAATAAAAAAATTTAAAGAGAAAGTGAAGGAGATGGAGGCATGTGGATCAAACAGTACAGACTTTCAGATATATGACATATAAATTCCTGAAACGGATATATAGCATGGTAAGTACAGTTATTAGTAATGCATTGTGAATCTGAAATTTGCTAAGAGAGCAGCTCTTAAGCATTCTTACAATAACAAAAAGATAATTATGTGGGGGGACACATATGTTCACTTGGCTTAATAGTGGTCATCATTTCACATCATGAATATCACATTATATGTATATCACATTGCACACCTTATGTGTATGTTATTTTTGTCAACTTTACCTCAAAACTCTAGAAAATATGTATCATCACAAATATGATAATAAATCTTACATGTACCTATCCACATATACCTCAAAGCGGGTTGGCATACACAAAATCCAATTACCCTGAACCCTGAAATGTTGTTCACAGAATTCTCACATGCCTCCAAGCTCCAACCTAGATTTCTACTACAGATGACATTCAGATGGCTTACACCAAGATGGCCATACCAGCTATTTATAACTGATATTGCCTCTGATACATTGGTTTCTCTCATTAATTCCACTCCAACCTCTGCCATTTATAGTATGTATTTAATGTCACAATGCATTATAATACCAAAACAAAAGAGGAGATCTATTCAACTAAAGGACTGAAGCTGAGATCTAGACCAAAATAGTTGATGTTACATAAAACATCTACAGGTAATAAACTATATGCATATTAATAATAAAAATGGTAAAACATCTTAATATCCAATGAGTATGCATGTGTGCCTGTGTATATGTGCACATGTGTGCATTTGTGTAGGGCATATTTCATATGGGGATTAGTCTTTTGGGGTTTTTTGTTGTTGCTTTTAGAGACAGGGTCTCTCTGTATCCTCAGCTGGCCTGGAAGTCACCAGGCTGGCCTCGATCTCACAGAGATCTCCCTGCCTCTGTCTCCTGAGTGCTAAGATTAAAGGTGTGTGTCACCATGCCCGGTTTGAGATTAGTTTTTTAGTATTTTATTTATTATTTTATTATTTTTATTATATGTGCATGAGCATATTGCCTGCATGTATATAAATGCACCTGTGTCATGCAATGTCCACAGAGGTCTAAAGAAGGTGTTGGAATCCCCTGAAACTGGAGTTACAGACAGTTGTTAGCTACCACGTAGGTGCTGGGAACTGAACCTGGGTCCTCTGCAGGAGCAACCAGTGTACTTAACTGCTGAGCCATCTGTTCAGCCCCAGGATTAGTTTTTAAAATAGTGGATAAAAACAGAAATTTCGTGTTGCCAAAATTATCCAAGAAAATCCCTTAAAATTCCCATAAACTAGGACATTCAAAAACCTCATTATCTATAAGATATTTTAACTTTTGTAAATTCAAAAAATTGAAGATCACTAAGTTGGAGAGGGAAAAAAAATCTAAGTACAGCTATCCCACCTAAGCCCTTTCCCTTTATGAGCTTGAACTCACAAAGCTCTGTTGGGGAAGGAATGGAGATATTCTAAAATGTTCCAGCTTCCCTGTGACATTATGCAGTCCTGGTTTCTATAACCTCAATACATGTTAACTGGCATGTTAGGAAAATTAAAGAAGTCATTTGTGTGACAACATCAATTGACTGAGACCAGGTAGACACTTGCACATTGATGGATTTGAATATAAATATTGCCTAATTAGGACACCGACATATACACACATGTTGGGAAGCTATACGGATGATATTGGTCATCCATTACAATTTCTCCTTTTGATCCTACTGAAGAGCTATCTCACTCCTCATCAGGAGCCCTCTCTTCCGGTGATGCTTGGTAGGGTAGGGTGTGCTGTGTTCCCCAGGAAGAATCTGAGTTAATGTTCATGATGGGAGTTACCACAGCAGCACCCTTCAGGGCTCTCAGACTATAATTCTCAAAAATCCCAATGAAGCTATTTCTATCACTTGGGTTTTGGAAAGAGGTGCAGATGTCCCCATCACCTGAGCAAACCTTACCTGATCTATCACCATACAGTTAGCATAGACTTCGTCACCTCCATTCAGCATATCAGAGAGCTGTCCTGTAGCAGGAAAAGTAGGGGCAATCTTGGATTTTCTGACACCATCAAATGAATGATCTAGAAGAAATGAACACAGGACAAAGTAGAATTCATCTCACAGTCAAACTTTACCTTCTTAGTCAAACAAAAAATTTAAAAAGTGCATTTGAATACACTATTTTGCTGTCTTCATACATTAAGATCTACAGTGCAAGTATCTTCTTGTCTATGCCCAAACCTTCTCAGTTTTCTAGAACTTGGATAGTTCTAGGCAGATGAGTATTAGCCCACTTCAAGCTCTGCTTTCCCATCATTAGAGATCTTTAATTTCCTCACAAGCTAAAGTTAACTTCGTTTCTTTTACTAAAAATATGGGTACATTGGTATTAGTCTGTGGTTCTCAAGTATGTGACAGGTTCAGATGCACTGAGTCCTTGCTAACAGCCTAACGACAGCATGAAGCCTGGCCAGCGGCTCGGTACCATCTACGGAACTTGCAAACCCTCAAAGGTGGCTCTTTCCTACTCTTAGAATTACAGAAATGGTTTTGCTTGCTTCCATGCTCTCAGTTTTGTTCCAAAAAGATAAGGTGGCTCAGAGTGGAGTCCTGGAGAGATGAATGAGATGTTCCTGCATTTGCAGAGAACAGACTTGAAGGCAATAAAATCTATTCAAGCCAGGGGCCTTGCCTCCTGTGACTGGCTTATTGATTGACTCTCCAGACACTTCCGTTGAGTCTCCCTATCAGTAAAGACAGATTATCATCATTCCTCAATACTCACATATGCTTATGATGAAGAAATGGGTCTGGTCATGTACAGCAGGTGACACTAACTACTGGATCAATATTGTTACTATTTTATGTTTGCTTTAATTATTATGATCTTTAATCATGATTAGTGTGACGTATAAGGTTATTAATACTAATCATAGTGTCGTACTAACAATAGATTATCAATGTCGTGACTTTAATGAAGTAGATTCAATATTTTATCCACAGTCAATGTTACCCAGTAAGTTTTCTTGAATGGGTACAAAAGGATAGTATTGAGCTGGGCGTGGTGGCACATGCTTTTAATCCCGCACTTGGGAAGCAGAAGCAGGCAGATCTCTATGAGTTCAAGGCCAGCCTAGTCTACACAGTAAGTTCTACTGCCTCATCTCAAACAAAAAAATAACAACAAAGATAAACAAAATGGGGAGAGTACTGCCCCAAGGCCATTAGAAATGGTGTGCCCCACTTTCTGTCTTGCCTATACCATCATAAAATCTAGTTGTGGATCAAGAAAAAAAAATGATTTATAACTACTGAGCTGATAATATGTTAGAATTTAAAATCCTATTCTCCCATAGAAAGCTCTGAATGACATAAAAGTTACAAAAATATATGAATCATACAAATCAAATGACTCTGGCTTCAGATTCCAAATCTAAATCTACTTCTTCCCCATAGCATACTGAGATGAAGTTTTATTAAGCTTCTTAAGAAAACATACAAAATAAAGAAAAGCCTTTTCTTACCTCCATCATGAATTATTTTATTAATTTATTTAAATAGCCAGCAATGTGATACATACAGAGCCCACAGATCCTTCACAAGGATAAGCTTTATGATAGATGACTACCCACCTTCATTCTAATTACACAAAAGAGGTTCCAAATGTTATAAATCAAAATCATGACAAAACACTTTTAATGTGCTGTAAAGTAAGAAAATACCTGCTCATTTGTCATTTGAGAGAATGTTTTGAGAGCAATCATAAGTGATCCAGCACGGCCTTTTGGTGTATGATTAAAACAGCTGAACTGCTCTAAGGTGTCATATTTTCACAGTGTAAAACACCTGGCATTTCTGCCATCACACTTGTGGGTCATTCATCCTCCTCTCTGATTGCTGCTCAATTAAGACTTCATTGACTTCACTATACTAAAAACGAACAAGATATTTGAGACAACCACAAACAATGAATGGATTTCATTTTAAAAACACAGAATCAAGGGGCTGGAGAAATGGTTCAGCAGTTGAGAGCACTGACTGCTCTTGCAGAGGACCTAGTTTGGTTCCCAGCACCCACATGGTGGCTAACAACCATCTAGAACTCCACTTCCAGGGAATCCAATGCCCCCTTCTGACCTCCCTGGGCACTGCACAACATGGGTGCACTTACATACATGTAGGCAAGACACTCATACACATACAAATAAATAAAATATAGTTTTTATTAAAAATACAGAATCAAGAGAAATGCTACCCTGAATTGTGAGGTGCTCATGAATGCACTTCTCTGTCACCAAAACCCTTGATCTTTTTAAAAAATTATTTTGTTTTTCAATTAATTAATTTTTCTTTTATGTGTATGAGTGTTTTGCTTGAATGTATATACATGCCCCAGTACTGTGCAATGCCCACAGAGGCCAGAAAAGAATGTCAGATTGATCCCCTGGAGTTGGAGTTACAGTTGCTAGCTGACATGTGGGTCCTAGGAACTAAACTCCAGGCCCTCTATAAGAGTAGCCAGTACTCTTAACCACTGAGCTATCTCTCCAGCCCCTTATTTTATTTTTATTTGTGTGATTATGCATGTGTGAATACCCATGTGCATACAGGTACCCATGGAGGCCAGAAGTGAACATTGGATTCCGTGGAGCTTCAGTTACAGATGGTTATGAGCTGCAGACATGGGTGCTGAGAACCAAATTCTAATCCCCTGCAAGAGCAAGTGCTCTTAATCAATGATATCTCTTTAGCTCCAACAGCCTTGTTCTTAATGACAAAAGAACACTCTGTCTTCAGAATTCTGACCACTTGCTCCAAGGATGAGCAGGATCAGAAATTACAACTGTTTTCATACATACAGATAGAAGCACTTTTCCCATCATAAATATACATTCTCCATTATAAGTATATATTCCCCATGTGGCATGTCAGGATCTACACAGAATTTGTGTCCGAGTCAAAACATAAACTACAAGACATCTGAGTGTCTTTTATTTTCTGCATGACTGATTGGATTAGGGTTTAGAAAACGATATAATTGAGTTACAAATAGAAGTCATTCTCAAATCTTCAAATCTCTGAAAAAACTAAAAATTTTCTTTATACATTTGGTTCACACATGCATTTGGGGCCAAATCTGACCTGAGCTCATGTACAGTCATGATTTCCTCTACTTGAGCCAATGTTCAGACATTTTGCCACAGCAAAGGATGATCACACTTTCAGTGTCTCCTATGAGAGTCATAACACACAGTGCAAGCACTATACCAAAGGACTTGAAAATTTTGAATTCCAAAACACATCTGATCCAGGTGTTTCAAAGAAGAGCCTGTAAATCTCTACAGTAATGGCCACATTAGACCCAAACTTCCCAAACTTTTGTTATTCCTCTCCCAAATTCACATTTTCTCCATAGTGATGTAACATCTATGTTGCTATACTTTTTTAGTACTTTTCTTCAGATCCACTCACTTTTTATTTAAATGAAATTATTAAGGAAACACTTCATCCCCACCATATGCAGAAAGCCAATACTCCCTGTCAAAAGTAGGAAGGAATTGACATGCTAGAAGCAATAAAAATCAAGCAGTTCAATTAAAATTCTAAACACAGTTGTCTATCCAAGCTGGGGGTTGAGAGGCCTGCCCTCTCTGTGTTATAATTGGAAATTCTGAAAGACCCAAGAAGTGCTAAGGATGTGAAGTACTGTACTTGAGAGTTTCAGTTGTCAACTTGACACACCTGGGTAGAGGGAGCTTTAACTGGGGAAATTGCCTCCATTGGACTGGCCTGTGGCGGTGTCTGTGGGGCATTTTCTTGATTGTTGAGTGACGCGGGAGGGCCCAGCTCACTGTGGGTGGTGTCACCCCTGGATAGGTAGTCCTGTGTTGTATAAGAAAGCAGGCTGAGCATGGGCCAGGAGAGCAAGCCAGTAAGCAGTGTTCCTCCATGGCCTGTGCTTCAGCTCCTGCCTCCAGGTTCCTGCCCTGAGTTCCTACCTTGGGCTCCCTCAGTGATGAACTGTGACCTCGGAGAGTAAGCCAAATGAACTATTTCCTCTACAAGTTGGTACTGGTCAGAGTTTTTTGTCACTGAAATTGAAAGCAAACTAGGACAGGTACCCAACTAAGGCTCTTTCAGTCAGTGGACATATCAAAAGAACTTGATGGGCAGGGGAGATAGCTCAGCCACTGAGGTTCTTGACATGCAAGCATGAAGATCTGAGTTCAATTCACAGAATTCACATAAAAACTAACTAAATAAATAAATAAAAATCTAGGCATGGTGATATTGCTTGTAATCCCAGTGCTGGGGAAGTGAACACAAGTGGATCCCTGGGACTCACTTGGGAGCTAGCCAAGTCTACTTAGTAAATCCCAAGCCAATGAGAGACCTTATTTCAAGAAAAAAACAAGGTAAGTAGCACTTGAGGAATAACACCCATGGTTGTCCTCTGGCCCCAACAAGCACATGCATATACATGCATACATCTGCACATACAGCAACTTAAAAAGGAAATATCTGCTTGTTAAGAGTTTGAATGTAAAATGTTGCCCTCAAGCTCATGTGTTTGAATACTTGGTCCCCAGCTAGAGGTGCCATTCTGAGAGTTTGTAGACTCTCTGGTACATAGGGCCTACCTGGTGGACACTGACAGTCCTTGAAGGATATCACCAGACCTGGTTCTGCTTATCTTCCTGGTTGGTGCCAAATGTGACGTCCCAGCTTCAAGTTCCTGTCCCCACTAACTGTGCCTTGCCAGCCACCATGCCTTCCCTGCCATGAAACTGTGAGTCAAAATAAACCTCCCCTCCCTTGTTACTTCTGCCATATATTTTGTCATGGTGACAATACCTAACACTGTGTAACTATAGGGCAGTTCAGTTTAGTGTAAGGCTGGCCATCTCCAAGACAAGCTGTTCCCAGGGGATTATCCCACTGGCCTAGACTATGTCATCACTCTGTCACTCCAGAGATGACTCTATTATGACAAGGTTCTGTTAGAGGAGGAAGGCAGGACTGTACAAGAATATACTACCGCAGTAAAGAGGGACAATCTGTCTCACGTCTGATTCTGTCA